CACTAGCTTCAAAGGATAACACATAGTAGAGCTAGGGTTGTCAAGTGGGCAGCTACCATCCTCTGCATTTTGCTGATTTAGCCATTTTTTTAAATGGTTTTCCCCAATGCCTGTCCATTTAATCTTATTTCAAATATATTCTGTACAGTTTTACTAACTAATAATAATGTATAGGGACAAGTTTGTCTTATATTCTTAGGTGTACAGATCCTACAATAGGGGGGGGGAAAGTATACCTTTAGTTTTCTGATGTGCACTGACTTGTGTATGTTCTTGTCATTAAAGCGGCTGTTCTGTTCTAAATGATAACGTGTCAGCCCTGCTTCCACTATGACTTTGCATGTTTTGTTTGATTATTGTTAGGGGCTTGTTTATATTAGAGGTCATGCTCAGCTTTTCATTAGCAGCATTCATATGCAGCATGTCCTAAAAGCTCACTTTTTAAAAGCTTGTGACGTTACTACAGCCCATGGGCTCACGGTTTACCAGACACAGACACTCATTGAGCCAGATAATAAACCCTTTTTTGTTTTTTTTTGTTTTTTGGAAGTGATTGAAAGATTGGAATTAGGGGAATGATGTTATACAAATGTGCATAACAACTTTGATTTCTAAAATAGTAACGTGGATAGTAGGGCTGAGCCATACCATACTGTTCACAGTAATACTGGTATAATGTTGGGCAATGATAAGAAAATTAAATATTGCGATAGAATATGGGTAAAACGTGCATGTGCAGTGCCTTTGTTTTCATACGCACATGGTGGAAAAAGCATGGCGGCGATGGAGAATGAGAAGGGAGAAAGCGTATCGTTGAATGAAACGGATGAACCAGAACTGGTTTGTAAAAATGCTTCAACTTCAGTGGTGTGGAACTGGTTTGGCTTTCGTCCGTCAGATACACTAAACTCACATTAAACAGTATTATAATCATTCTTTATGGTTCACACTAACTAGATAGGGTAGCAGATAGGGCTGTGCGATATGACCAAAATCTCATATCCCGATATAAAACATCTATCGTCCCAATAACAATATAAATCACAAAAAATTTAATATTTTCTGTAAATTCTGTGAATCTCGGGTAGGTGAAGTGTTTCCAGCTGGGCGTAGTGTACCTGGAGTCGAGTGTTCTAACCGATGCATGAAACTACACTTTTTTAGACATAAGTTGTAAAGGCCGCCGTTTTCTTTGTATTTATTACACAGCGTGCTGCGGGGAAAAGCCTGTTCTGAGTGTAAGGTTTATTTTTTAGCACCTGACAACTATTTTTTTTTTTTTTTTTTTTTTTTTTTTTTTGCTTCTCACCCGTCAATATTCTGCATACTTTTTCATGTGATTCCGTTTATTTTGAAAATTCTCAACAGGATCTTGAGCTTTATTGTGAAAGGTTAATGTGGAAAATAAACAAGCGGACATGCGATGGTTTTACCGTCGTTGTTGCTAACGACAACTCAAAAAAACAGGCGCTTGTCCATCCGTAGTGTGGTTATATTAAATATAAGAGAAAGAGAGAACTTTAAGAAATGAATATAGCCACTACAGTGGCCATCAAAACGATGAAAAAAATATTGCCGTAAACAGTTTATTTTGCGACACCACGAAACAAACAATAGCGTAAAATGAAACGATAGATGTTTTTATATCGTCATCCGATATATATTGTTATATCGACCAGCCCTAGTAGCAGAGAAACGCCAAACTGAGCAACATGAGCCTTTAAAAAGGTTTGGTGTATTATTCTGTGCAACATTTCTGATTCTGGATAACTAGAATATTTCCCCCTGTGCATCTGGGGCTACTTTACTCTGAGCCGCTCCCAAGTGACTAAGCTTCTCACTGTAGCTCTAAGGGAGAGCCCAGGCACTCTTCCATTGAAGGCTTATTTCAGCCTTCTTCATCTGCAGTCTCACTCTGTTTTGCCTCAGTGGTTAGCGAGTGTTTTCTGGAGGTTGGTGGCTGTCTCTGGGTTAAATCGGTCACAGAGTATGTTTTGATTGACCTTGTGATTTCTTTCGTCTCGCAGATTCCTGGGTTGGCCCATAGTGTTCATGCAAGATGCATTTGTCTGCAAGCACTTGTTACCTTATGGAGAACATTCTACTTTAAAGTAATAGTTGTCTTTACTGCTAAATCATGCGACTGGGGCTTTAGTAGTTGATTTTGCAGCAACTGCCTGCAGCCACTTGCAACCACTCAAGGAATATTTTTTTTTCCATAGCAACTGGTGGCTGGCTATAGGCATGTGTGACTGGAGACTAAGGTTCATTAGATTTCTTTAAATCATTTTAGTGTTGGATGTTATTTTTATAACAGTGCAGTTGACCGGAGCTAATTCCTTCAGTTCAATGTGTTTTGTGATTAAGATTGGCTCATCTAAAACAGTCTGATAGTCTAAATCTAATCTATAACCTAAAATCAGTTTAGATTTGGATTGGAAATGGGAAAATTGGAATAATAATCTTTTTTTTAATTAGTATTATTTTTTTGTTATCCTACATTTTCCAGCATCTCTTTACAACTGTTTTTAGTGGTTAAAAATTAGCTGAAATAAAAACCTAAAAAAAATCTCCCCCTTTTATCCCTGTGTTTTTTAACGAAATCAAAAGTCTGTTACCGGTAGTTTAAATAATACAGACATTTGAATTTCCTGATGGAGCTATTCTTGGTTATGCTTCACTGTTTTGTTTCATGATTAATGAATCTTAGCCTCATGGGATTAATGTAGCTTTTCTTTTTTTCATGTACATCTTCTTGTGCTTTCTCAGTTGAAAACAAGCATCTGTTTCTACAGCAATGGGCTGATAATAGCTGCATTACACTGGTTTAAATTGCTAGCTGCTGGCTGGCAGGGAGGTTGCCTATCTGCGGATATCATCAGGTAGTTTTGTTAGTCTACAGTAATTATGGGCAAGCTAAGGTAACTGTAAAGCATTGATGGTAGTAAAACTGGGTCGGGTAGAAAGTCGGTGTCATCTCACTGTGTGTCACCAATTAGTCGTTACATTATACATCCAACTGTCAAACAGCAGCGTCACTAGGGATTCACCCATGATGACATGATTATTTATTTTTTCCTAAATCGAGGCTAAAAATGTAAAACACTCATTACTTTGACTCAGTTTTCTCATCATGCATCTTCATTATCCCTGCTTTGATCTCAGGGCAAAGCTTTGTCTTTGTCACGTAATTCATCATTCCAGCAGTCCCCGGGAGTTGGACAGCTTCTGGGAGTTTTCCAATTTGCCATTTAGTAGAGGGAGAATTGGAACAGAAGGTGAAGCTTAATTGCTCTGTTTTGCCAGGAATCATTTTTGGGAAATGTATATGGGGAAATTATAGTTTTCAACTGTGTGTGTGTGTGTGTGTGTGTGTGTGTGTGTGTGTGTGTGACTAAACTGCTATTTAATGCATTGAAAAACACATTTACCACAGCTGTAAATAAATATAGATAGATTAATGCTTGAGGAAGCTTAAACATGTGTATTAGTTAAATATCAAGCAGAGGTGTCTCTTCCAGCATCCCAGCTGCCTGTTAAAGTGTATTTTTGCCCAGGAGAAAATCTGTCTTACAATAGCACTTCCTGAGTGCTGACCTAAATCCCAAAGAGCCCTATTGGATGGCATGGAGGAAAAAAGTCATCTCATTTATTCATCCTCCAGTGTAGATGAACTCAAAGTATTACTGGCTGAAACATGGAGGAGACTTTCATCACAGCAGTAACTGAAACAATGGCCTCATATTGTCTGAGAGTTTTGCAATCTTGAAAAAACAGAAGGAAACAAAAGGGGAAAAAATCACAAACTGATATTTTCTTTAACATTTATTTGGTTTGCAAGTATGTTTTGTCTCCATGTTAAACTGTGACTACCATTCTTTAGATTAAGTGCTCTTAGCTTTGCATTGTATTCCTCACATGGACTTTGCCTTTGGGAGCTACAAAAAGTATATTTTGCGACTCGTTTAGCTTAAGCAGAACCTTAAAGTGATTCCTCACAATAAGGTTCTGGGTTTGCACCTCCTAGTCGACTGGGCCCTTTATGTGTAGAGTTTCTGTGTTCTCCCTGTGCCTGTGGGACCTTCTGAGTACTCTGGTTCTCTCCCAAAGGCATTTTAGGTTAATTAGCCATAGGTGCATGTATATGGGAGATGGTAAGGTTCTCTGTCCCTCTGCCAGATCTCAGTGGACCGGTGCGTGGTTCACTGCGCCTTTTGCACCATAACTGCTGAGATGGATTGAGTTAAATAAGCGGTTGGATGGGTGGATGAATTTATTAGACGGCATCCATTTCACTGTGATGGACTGCAGCTTGTTTGCCTTCTGTTTAGGAGATTGATTGCAAGCTAACCAGAACCTTGTACCAGGCTGAGGCTCCAGAGCAGAAGGACCACTGTAGTCGGTTGAGGTGCAACATGGTGGCACCGGAATCGGTCTATTCATTGTAGTGCCAGCTTAACATGTATTACTTATTAGTTACTTATTATAATTTATGTACCAATGCACGGATGTGCCTCTGTGCGCCACCACAGAGGCAACAATACAAAAATTGTGTCTTTGTTGGATAAAATGCACATTTCACAGTAAAAGCATCATTTAGAAATCTTTCACTTTTCAAATTGTGAAATTGTAGATCGGGGTAAAAAGTTTCTCAACGTCCCCAAAAAAAACAGTTCTCTCCCGTGGCTACAGGTGAGGAGTGGGAGAAGTTACACTGCTTAAGGAAGTGAAGCAATTTGCTTTGTTTTAAAATGTATGTAGTTTTCTGTTTAAATGGGGAACTAATGGGAACTCACTGTCACTCCTGTGATTAGTGTCACACAGACAACATTAAAGCATCCAGGTTTCTCAAAACAGACTACAGGGGAAAATCTCTACATTAACAAACCTTGAACGTTGAATACACTGTTGAAAAAAAGTGATTGTTTCTTTTTTATTTAATTATTATTTTATATTCTCACTGACTAAAGTTGATTGAGTTTCTTTTCCTTTTCCCCCAGATATCATTGACAAGAGTGAGTTGAAGACATTCTTTGAGAGCAACAGTTCTCAGATTTATTTTATCTTCTATGAAAATTTCATTACACTGGAAAGCAACTTAAAACAAAAAGGTGAGTAAAAGCTTTTTTTGTAATAAACTGCACATGAACTATTTAGCTGCTGCTGTCAGTGTCGGTTCAATAATTAACCCTCTCTTTGCCCTCTGTGCTACAGCAAAGGTTATTTTCCGTTTGCCCCACATTTCCAGAGCAGCGGTACTTAGAGAATCAATCTGATTATGTTTAGTGTAACTGAGTGGATTGAGCTTGCCTTCATTCATTCCCACTGGGACTGCGGTCTCATGGTCATACACGTTCATTTAAATGAATGTTTATGCAATGGCCCATATTATTTTTGCATTATTGATGAAGCTCTATGCAGCATAGCTTCAGGTAAAATGTTTTAAAAACTTTGTACTAAACGTGTATTCTTTGTGCTTCAGGGAACAAATCTCAAAGGGAGGAGCTGGACTCTATCCTCTTTATTTTTGAAGTAAGTGCTCTGTTGTTTTTTATGTTGATATCTCCAGCTGGTATTTCCAGGTAAACTCGGGGAGTAGAATCACCTGCTACGTCCTGAATTCACTTCATAGAGTCTGTAGATCAATAGCAGGTTGTTCTAAGGCCTCATTGTTACGCTGCCATTCAGTCCACTTATTTTTAAAATCCAGGCGTGCATGCAAATCAGAGGTGTGTTTCATCTCTGCATGCACAGCATGCTGTTGGCTCTCTAGCCCCTCCCTCTGTTTTTGCTGAGCACTTTTATGTTGCACATGCAGGTTAAAGTCCCCTACCTTGTTTTCCCACCTGACTGCAAAGGCAGCTCGAGTTTCCAATACAAACAGTGAGCTCTCCGGTTACATTTGCTCAGGGCAGGGCTGTTAGGATGGCAGCAGATCAAATTGTGGGGCAGTCTGTTTGTCTCTTTTGGTACAGTATGCCTTGCCCTAAATTTTGTCATCACCTGGGAGCAGTATCAGGGGGTTCCTTAAATTACACCAAGTCACAGCTAGGGAAGCGCTGCCAAGGATCCTTAACTGCTATAGTCTGTCTTGAGCGATGGATTACTATGTTGTTGGGGTTTTTTGGGTTTGTTTTTTTTTTGGTTTTTTTTTTTAGTCGGGCATATCAAATGCAAATTGGGCTCAGTGTTTTCGTGTAATCACATTACGTTTTCGGTGCTGTCTGGGTGATGCATCGTGTACTTCATGCATGCTCTGAAATGCTTCCCTATGTGTCTGGCTGCTCATCGTTTTTCCTGCTGGTGTTCTTTCAGTCTGTCAATCTTCTTTAGAATTAACACTTGTGCCGATGCCCCTCTCCTGCAGATCATACCAGAAATTATTTTCTGATCAAAACAGAAAAATGTTATCATTCAGTTCAACATTTCCATTCAGTTCTCTCTATTCTTTACCTAGAAACCCACAGTGTCTGTCTGCACACATCCAGTCATTTGACCTGTAAATAAAGCCTGGATTCATGGCTTCTACATATTTATGGAGTCATCTTTTCAGAGAGAACTAATATTGAAAGCAGCTTAACCCTCATTTTTCCCCTTTTAGCCCCTGCCTGTGACGCTGTGTGCTTTTACCCATGCACTGAGAAGATAAGCTTGCTTTGACTAATGTGGGCAGGACAGATACAGGGTTGCCTTGATCCTGAGCTGTGCTGCACTGTGTGGACATTCTCGTCACACCACATTACATTAAGAATTTTTTCGTCAATGTGATATCAGTGCATGTACTTCGAACATGCATACTTGAAGAAAATGTGTAATATTATGCAACAAAAGATGTGGCAGTGCAGCAGAAAATTAATTAAAACAGTGTTTCGAGGCAATGGCATTTTGCTCCCTCATAAATTATTTCTACAACAAGCACAGTAATGTAATATATTTCTTATGGGAATTTTACATTTATGCCACGTGTGTCATACACCTTCTCTCAGTGCAGGATAATACTTTGTGTAAACGGCCATTGTTAACACAAGTGATGGGAATCGCCCGGCCAAAACATGGCAGCTTTTGTCCAGCAAGTGTCAGAGGATTTTGTAGCGTGGCCTACGAGTGGATAATGGCTGGGACAAAAGCAAGTTTGCAGCACAGTGCTTAGAGTCACACTTTAATGCTGTATGACAGGGTAAGAAGAACAGGACATCTCAACATCACTTCTCATGTTCTTTGTATGAGTTTCCCTGGAGAACCCCGTTTACACTCCTCTCTTCAGGAATGTGAAACGTAGTCCCTCACGCTCTCACCTGTCCCTCACATCTGCCTGATATATACAGTCCACGTCCCCAGTTTGTTTCCTTCGAGCTGGCTATGTGGGGATTACTTTGCTGTCATGATGAGGTATGCAACCCCTTTTTCATGAGTTGCTGTGGGGGAGCATGATCTCCCATGCTGGGCCCGTTTGAGTAATGGCTGTCTAGAGGGGGTAATCTTTTGTTCCTCTGCCTAAACTGTGCTGGTCCACTCCACCCCCCCATCCCACCAGCAGCCATCACTCCCTTCCAGGATTTCTTTGTCTGCTTCCACAGAGGCATCATACCATGGCAGTCTTTATGGGAATGCAACCACATTTCTGAGGATGCAGTCGTGTTCTCAGCATCTTTTATTTTGATATTGATTAAAGATTTTACCCCATAAAAAGCGACATAACATTTATTTATTTTGTTTAACTTTAATAGTTAGTCAATGTTGAATCAAAGGATTGCCTTAGTATGACCACAAGGCTTTGAACTCTCTTGGCAACTGTTTGTGTTTTATGTTAAAACATGTTTTATGTTTTTGAATACGTGTTGCTATGATACATGCTGTTAAAAATAATTCAAACGAAAAGTTTTCAGTGTATAACATCCGCAGAAAAAACTGTGTTTGGCTCCTTTGACCGTGTAGGCCGAGGCTTGAAGTAACGTTAGCAGTTTTTCTAGTCATTCACAGCTTGAGAGAGCGAACACTTAGTTTGATTAGAAGTTCTGAATTTATTGATCGAAATGTGAAAATACTCCACTGCCTAGCCATTAACATCTGCTGCACTTTAATCATTATCTGTTCCTGCAAATGACAAATTCAGTGGAGACTTCCAAGGTGATTGATGGTTAGTTGATTCCTAGGCAGTAACTCCCATACAAATCAGGCACATTAGCAACAAATACACAGAAACAAATGTGATGAAGTCAATGTGATGGTTGTCATAGAACATGGACAGAACATTGAACAGCTGTAAATTCACACAGAAGAAACTATCCTCTGTGTGAGAGTGAAATTGGAAATGGGCAGGTGGGAATCATGAAACCTATGGGCTGTTCAGCTGCAGAAATCTGAGGCAGTTTGTGCACAACCTAAACCTAAAACCTCACCAGTATCACAATCAATGAAAGAGGGTAAACTACTATAGATTTAGTAATCATGCTTTTTTTTTTTTTTAAATTGCAGTTCATTTGGGTAGTTTAATCAGAATCAGAAATACTTTATTAATCCTGAAGGAAATTATTGGTTACAGCCGGCAGCATGCACACCAACCAATACCAATCCCTGAGGCCAGCAGGGGTTGGTACTGGTTCTTCCTACAGACTGACCAACAAAGAGGCCACGTTCCAGGTATGTTGGAACTTTGATATCAGAATTCATGACATCACACATGAGTTGGCACGTTCCAGAAAAAGCGAGGAAAAACAGGATTTGTTTCTGTTCTTGGCATGCTGGAGTCATTCACGCATCATACGCAGTGCAGCAGTAATACTACTTTTGTGTTTAAAAAAGACATTCGTAGATAGAGCCTGGTCAGTGCTCTGTGTATGGCTTCTTTACTAAGTCACAAATACACAACAGTGGCAGTACAGATTCAAAGGTTTACAGTTTCACAACTGTTTACATTCACTGCCGCCATCTTGGATTGCTAACTCGGGGTTTGTCTGCTCCGAGTCGGGAAATCTGAATTGAGGAGCTGTTTCCCAAAAATTCACTGGGGAAAATGAGTGTTGCGTCAGGGCCAGGCATATAGAGTTTATTGTTGTACTTCAATTAATTAAATCAAATAAATTAATTTGTTTGGAGTGGCCTTTTGCATGCGAACATGTCCACAAAAATCTTATTAGCCTTTATAAAATAAGGTCAAGCAAAACAATACATTCTAATTACAGTTCTGCTGGTAGGCTAGTGGCTGCACACAGATGTAAAATTTAATATAAAACTCCCTTATAGCTCCATCCCTGTGAGCACAATGTGCCTTTCAAAGACACACAATCTGCTGTAGATGCATGGATGTGTCTCCATATCTGTGTTGTACATGGATTCAGACATGAAGGACAAAATTTCTTTTCCTCTTTTTTTTATAAAATAAAAACTTGTGCCAAAAGGATAAACAGGCTTCTCTTTACATTCGGTAAAGATTCATGGTTTTCAATCTCTGTCTTAACCTGTTGGCACCCAGCTGCTGTGGAGAACCACCTGTCTCGTCAGGTGACCTGTGCGTGAGACGCACATTGTTGCTGATTGGCCAAGAGTTATTAACAACCTTTAGCGATCAACAAAGAGCCAAATTTGACACATGTGACAGAGGTTGTGAGGTTGATCAGTGAAGTTAAGTGTGCTTGTTTAGTTCATTACTTTCTGATTTGAGTGCAGAAAGTTAAGGAAGGAGGGCTTCTTTTTTTATTGTCATGTAGTCGTTTTATTCGTGTTTTTGTGATTTTTGTTTTTTGTTTTGTAATGACATGTGTTCATGTCTTTAGTTTTCATTCTTGGTTTGCAAGCTGCAGTCGTAAATTGTTTATTTGCTAATCAGATATCAGCTAATTAGAGCCAAGAGTTGGTGTTTGAGAAAATATTTTTCTACATGTAATTCATTTCTCTTTCTTGCTGCTGCACAGTAGAAGGATACTATAAAGAATGAGTTTTACAGCCAGCGTGAGACCTCTTTCTGTTTTCTGCTGTCACAAGACCAGAACCAGCTTCTCAGGCCTCAGGGGAAGAGTTTGTTTATGCGCCTGTATTACTGGAGATGACTTCTCACTGACAACAGTGGCATTGAACACTGGTGCCGCTGTGGTTATGGAACAGGTTAAGGGACAGCTTTGGGACCCCTGAAACTCCGTGACCTCACCCTGACATGTCAAGTGCCATCTGGACCTGAGTCAGCAGGCTGAATTCCCCTTGTTATCCTCTCTGTCAAGCTGCCCCATCTAGATCTGAGACTTAACTTACTGACTTTTTAATAAACAAAATAAATCTATTTTTGTATAGTTTTTTGTTTTTGGAGATCACAGACTGAGAGAAATCTTTTTTTTATAGGAATAGTATCAGCCAAAATGGCAACACACTAAAACAAGTATCAAGCAGAAAAAAAAAGACTCTGAGAGAAGAGAGATCTCTGAGGTTAAACTGAGATTTATTCATGTCAGCCGTAGCATATGATTTATTTTGACCTGCATGTTTTTAAATGCCCAGGTGTGTAATTAGTAATTAATTACATAGTCTCTATCATGAGCAGCCATCTATAGTTCTGTTCGGCCTTGTGTAATTGCTTCATATTCTTTGTTCCTCTAAACCTCGGCTAACGCTTCTAATAAAAAAAAATGTGCTCAGGGCCATTTAGTTACATGATTTGTTTTACAGTCTAATTCTTCTTGACTGGCAGTTTACCCATTGGACCCTCACTGGTTATGCATAATGCAAATGTACAAAGTGTAGCTTGGGGTTGCACAGGGGAGCAGCAGATGAATCTTGATGATCTGTGCGTTGGTCCAGAATATTACAGATAGGAACATTTTTGTCACTAGTACGTAACCTGATTAAGAAGAGTTTTTAAAACGGACCCTAGAATGCTGTAGCTTGGCTTTGCCAACCAAAGAGGAAGGTGTAGCAGATGGATGAGAAGCTGGTGTTAAGGCGCTGAAGGAGTCTCATGTGCTGTTGCTGCCATCTACTGGCCACAGAGGGGAATTAAAACAGTTTTGTAACACTGTTCCCATATTTTTGGTGTTCTTCTTAAAAACAAAGAATAAAAACAAGTGTTTTGGGCTTAAAGCACCATTTAATTGGAGTTTTGTATATTTTACTTGGTTTAATTTGCATGTTAGTCAAATTTCTGTTCAGTCTTACGTGGCTCACACTGTTGTGGCATAAGCAAAGCAGGTGTGTGTAACTGACGTCTTCTCTCTGTGCTTTTCATCTATAAGTGTTTGTAATCCCAGGGCCCGCTTTTGGTTGATTGAATGCAAGCACTATACATTGCACTTTATTTCCTACACTGCTTACTCTGTGTTATAATTTGAGTTTTGCCTGTTTTGTCTGGTTTTCTCATTATTGCACGTCCTTGACTGCAGTTTAAGGTAGATTAGTTCGTTATGTCTCTAGTGTGTTTGGTCCTTCCTCCATATATGCTATATTCATCTCTATGATTGCCAGAAATCCCAAACAATATGCAAAGTACAACATTTCATCTAAAAGCATTGCATTGTGATTGGTGCTAGAAGCCCTTGTAGACCACATCTGTAAGCAGCATATTCTGTGTCATGTTCAGGCTCTACTGCTGGAAATCTAAGTACGGATCATGTAAATGTGTTAAGGCTGCTGTTGGACCACAATAATGCCCTTATATTTATGCTGGAGTATGGCTGCAGATTAGTGTAACTCCAACAACATCCAGTCCTGCAGATTTTGTATTCGCCTTGTATCAGCCGGTAAATTCTTCATTGTTGCGGCCGCCATTCCAGCTCCACAGGGAGTTTTTCTGAGCTAGCTTCTCCACCTCATTCCCACTCTCCCTTCCTAATGCTCTGTGAAGAGACAGTGTTACTGTGTGCACGCACACACACAAGGCTTAAGCTGGCTACCCTGCTGTGCTACCGACTAGCATAATGTCTCTACTGGCATAAGGAGACAAAATGAAGGTGGCCAGCACAGCCTTTGCGGAGATGTAATAATCCCACTTGGGATCAATACCAAGGTGCAGCCACACGCCTGTACACGCATATTATCGAGTCTGGGGATCAGAAAGAAGTTGAATGGCACAGATAGTCATCCAGCGCCCCCTTAAAGTGATGTATGCCTTTCAGTTTCTCTGCTGTCACTGATAATGACGGGGATTTAGTCTCAGAGGACAAGAAGGGAAAGTTAAAGATAAGGGAAGAAGGAAGTTGTTGACAAACGGAGACACTCAAAGCCTGAGATGACTTGTGGGCCACCACAGCTCTCAGCATAATGCGGCAAAGCACAGGGTAAAGATAAAGCTCATACCATTTGTCAGACCAGTGTTATGTGAGTTTTTTTTATCCTGCCAGTTTCTGTTTCAGTGCTAAGTTTCTTTTCCACTGTTCATATCTGTTACTATAGGAGACTAATATTTGCCATTTCTTTCCTGGCATGCTCACTTTCCTTCTCTCGCCTCTGTTTCGTGCACTCAAGACCAGATGAGCTTTTTATCATGCTGACCACCATCGGTTGTCTGGTTGAGTGGGTCAGAGCTGCATACGTAAAGCAGTAAAGGACAGGCTTGACCTCTGCATTGCAATCATGAAGTCTTTCTGGGTCAGTCATTAGGATTTGATGAGAAGTGAGTCATTGGAGCATTAGTTGCTCGCAATGAACTGACTGTTAACTAGCCGCATGTGCACAGCCGCACACATCTGCAGACTCGGGGCATTTTTTTCATCTTTCCAGAGGGACCCAGTTAACGGGTCGCTGCATTGAGGAATAATGATAGTCTGCTCAAAGGTTAGAGCTCGCTAATTGAGTTGTAAAACTGTTGTTGGTGAGGTGATGAGTGCTGTGTCGGGTCACGGGGTTTCACTGACAGGCTAGGCAAAGTGGAGAGAGAGGGCATTGCTTAAATAAATATATATGTGTGTATATATTAGGGGTGCAACAATACACAAAATTCACGGTTCGGTACGATACTTTGGTGTCACAGTTCGATATTTTTTTCGATTAAAAAAAAAAAGGTTCATGCCTTTTTAATTTGTCATTTATTAAAATTATAAATATATATTTTAACACAAACGTACAGTTTTTAAATGTAATGTTGCTGAAACAACAAAGGGATAAAATAATAAATCTCTGATCGAGAAATCACTCATCTTTGGAAAAGAGTTTGTTACAGAGAAATGTCTCTTTCCAAAACAAAAGCTATACTATACGCTTCTTCTGGGCTATACTCTCAGCAGCATATTAAACATATCAGGTCCCCATAAGGAGAATCATGTGCTAACGGCTGTCTAAATGACTCTGGTAAAGTTTGTAGCATGCGTGCTTGTTGTTTTTGTCTGCTTCCACTAGGATGCTGTCGGCGTATATGTGCAGTCATATTCGTTGTGTTCCCACTAGTGCTGTCAACGGTAATCTCGTTAAAATGACGTTAACGCCACAACACGGCAAACCTCTGTTAACGAGTAACCGCGGATCGCCCCGTGCGTGGGGCTGGATGGCGTCAACACGTTAACAAGCTAACTGCGCTAACGCACTAGTTCCCACCGATTGAGCATTGCGTGGCACATCCGACATACTATTTTACTTTTGTCCATGACGCGCTTACCATCAGGGTCATACGTCACATGAAAACCAAGATAGGTCCAAAGGCCAGATCTGAATGAGGGTGGGGGAGGTTCAATTTCGGGTAGCGTTGAGGCAGTTGCCATGTTGCAACGATCTTAGCTTCTGTCTTGCTAGCTTGCGCTGCGCTCAGTGGATCTGCACTCGACAGTGCAGCCTAGGCGGAGTAGTCGAACGCAGATCCACTGAGCGCTCAACACAGACAGCATCGTCAGAAGAAAAGCTGATAAAATAAATAAAACATTTTGTATTGTTCGATACATATGCATACCGAACTGAAAGCACTGTATCGAGCGGTTCAATATCGATACAAGTATTGTTGCATTGTTGTGTATAAATGTATGTATATGTGTGTTTTGGTCAAAAATGGTTTGACTTGTAAATTCAGCAAAGAATTATTTGTTTTAGAAATCCAGAAAACATAACTGGAATAAATGGGTGTTTTCCCCAATTTGTCATTCATCAGCTAGCTACCAGAATTGTTTGTCACAGCTGACGCAGGTACTGTTCTCTACCACTCTAATCACTCCTCTAAAGCTAATCATGACATGTCCTGTTTTTCATCAGAAAATCCTGCAGAATCTGCCTGAGAAGCTCTACAACAGATGGCAGTTTCACAGTATAGGTATGCACGTAACGTTTTTCCACTTTATCAAACATTTTGCACTTGCTTGAATTGTAACCGTTTTCTTTGTAACAACTGACAGGTAGGTGTACGCTTTGTATTTCTTTACACTTAAGGACAAAAAAATGTCACCAGGACCAAGCCTTAACCTTTAATAATGAGGAGGAAATAATTAGTCTGAGAAGGGGATGTAAATGGGAAATGCAAATTAACACTTCATTTGAAATGCAAATAAGTAATTGAATTATGCATGATTTCAGTCCTGCACAAAAAAGGAAAACCCTTGCAAGAAGCGATAACCCCAATTATAACTGTTTTTCGTCAGCCGTTGGCAGCTAAACAGTCCAGGTTGAGATCACTGTTGCAGATTTGCCTTCCCCCTCCCCAGGCTTGTAATTTTAAATATCAACACTTATCTTTGGGTGGATGTCCCAGACATATTTACCATTTTTGTCCATCTGGATCACAAATCCGCGCAGGTTTAAAGCTTCCTCTTAGCCTTTCTTGCACTCGCATAGAATTTTTTTTTTTCCACACATCAGTTCAGGTGTCACTGGTCAAGATCCAGTGCTGTTATATGTGTACTTCAGCCTGGTTAACTTTTTCTTTCACATAATTTTTAGTGTGCTGTATCCAGAACCGTTACTAATGGAAATACAGCACCTTGCGACATATTCTTTGTGGTGGGTAGAGTAGCTCAAGAATTACATTAATGACTTGGTGGTTTTGGCCTTTTAGTTTGGAGATGCAGGGTCACAGGTACTTCACTCGTACCTTTAAGATGCTGAAGGAAATGTGCACAGCTTTTTGTTATCCTTCTGTCCCCAGCCCACAACCCATGAAAGGATTGCTCTGTGCTTTCGTGTTCAGTATTCTGATGAGAAGACCAGACAAAAGCTCCCTCAGTAAGGGCCTGTTGATCAGGACTTTAAGACACCTGTTCAGCGGTTTGGCTTTTACACTAACAAAACCCGATTCTTAATCTTAATCATCACCTTAAAATCAATATTAGGACCAGTCAAAGTGTTTTCCAGCCCACAACGTCCTCAAAAGAGACTGCTGCCTGTCAAGAGCATGTCCTAAATCACGCACGCACAGACATGCAGAGCTCTTCCTCCCGAGATATTTAGCAATCAGACCGATGTCTCATTTGATTACAGTGGAACCAGATTGGCTTCATAAATGTGTGTCGCTGCCAACTCGTGTTAATTTTCATCAGGAAAATATGAAGCCTTGCCACTCTACCCACTAGTTTGTCAAGACCACCCATCAAGGTCAATTCTTCTGAGTCGAGATGACAGCTTTGTGCGGTTTGTCTCTTTCCTTGTTGTGCAGAAGAAAATTTGAATAGCGGTTTTTGACCGTTGTCACGTTTTCTATCCTCCAGGTTCTATTCTCAAAAAGCTTCTGCACACTGGAAATTCATTCAAAGTAAGTGCCCAATTTGAGCTTTTAAAATCTTGGCACACAAAGATGGACTGAACATATTTTTTTAGTTGAATGGATTGTTAAAATTAGCCTCCTTTTGAATATGCATAAAAATGACCTTTTCTCCCGCTTTCTAGATTCGCTGTGAGGGGATCCGTCTCTTCCTGCTGTGGCTGCAGGCCCTAAGGGACCACTGTGCAGAGGAGCAGTTCCTCATCTTTGCCTGTCTGGTGCCAGGATTCCCCGCTGTGCCCTCCTCCAGAGGGCCGTGCACCCTCGACACCATCATTTACAACCCTTTCTCCAACCCCCCAGATGGTGAGAAAAGAGTAGCACATTACACATTATGTATTCACATTTAAATGACCATAGATTTTATTACATTTGTACATGCTTAGGATTGCCACTGAAATTATGTAAAGTACCCAGTTATAATACTGGGTAGGTTTATTTTCTGTCATTAACTCGGGTCCTTTCTTTCTGTTGATTTGAGCAGCCAAGGTGGTGCCTGAGGAGATCACCCCACTGGTTCCAGCTGTGGCAGGTGAAAAAGCTGCAGATGACCTGACCTGTTATATCCTAGAAATACTGCTTAAGTACATGGTCATCCAGGTAATAACTCACTTTGTCTGACAGCAGCAAGAATAGTAATGTTATCATAACTAACCCTGCCTGCAGGATATTCTTGGATGTGCTTGATGGCTGCTTTACCCCACTTGTTGTTGGGGTTCCTTCTAATACTGTTAGATAAAGTATTTTAGTTGAGTATTTCTTTCATCATGAAAATATCAGCTTTAACCCAGCACGTTTTATGAAGTCAGCAGCTAAACTATTAATTCCTCATGTTCTGTACAGTTAGTTCCTCAGACACAAACATTTTCAGTGACTAGATTAAGTTGTGTTATAAAATTTGCGCAAATGCACTTGCATACTTAAATTAAATGCCTTTTATGTGCAAATGCTTTTTCTGTCTTTAATAGACAGCCGTGTGATGGAAGTGCTCAACAAATGTGAACATACTCTGTTCTGGCTTCATCTTTCATTTGTTTTCATGATTGGGTCTCCTCCATGTATTGTGCCACTGTAAGATAAAAAGTAAATTCAGTTGTTAAGTCTAAAGTTTTTCATCATATTTGGCCTCAGATCTAACAGTTTATGTCTATGTACTTTTTTTTTTTTTTTTTTTTAATCTTAGAGGAACCTTCATGCTATTGTGTTGCAAACAATATACTGTCGCTGTGATGTTGGAAGCATCTCCTCTCTCTGTAGCCTGACCTTGTCTGCCTTATTGTGCTGTCTGTCTGCCAGGCATCCAGTTTAGAATGGAAGAACAAAGAGAACCAGGACACAGGCTTCAGGTTTCTCTTCACCCTGTTCAAGAAGTACTACCTTCCACACTTATTTCCCTCCTTCACCAAGCTCACAAACCTCTACAAGCCTTTATTAGGTAAGCCCACAAACCCAAACTATGCACTGTATATATTACAAACCGGATTCCAAAAAAGTTGGGACACCAAACAAATTGTGAATAAAAACTGAATGCAATGATGTGGAGATGGCAAATGTCAATATTTTATTCAGAATAGAACGTAGATGACAGATCAAAAGTTCAATCCGAGAAAATGTATTATTTGAAAGGAAAAAGATATTGATTCAAAATTTCACGGTGTCAACAAATCCCAAAAAAGTTGGGACAAGTAGCAATAAGAGGCTGGAAAAAGTAAATTTGAGCATAACGAAGAGCTGGAAGACCAATTAACACTAATTACGTTAATTGGCAACACGATTGTGTCTCTCAGAAGCCAAGATGGGTAGAGGATCATCAATTCCCACAATGTTGCGCAGAAAGATAGTGGAGCAATATCAGAAAGGTGTTACCCAGCGAAAAATTGCAAAGACTTTGTAGTTATCATCATCAACTGTGCATAACATCATCCGAAGATCCAGAGAATCTGGGACAATCTCTGTGCGTAAGGGTCAAGGGCGTAAACCCTTACTGGATGCCCGTGATCTCCGGGCCCTTAAACGACACTGCACCACAAACAGGAAAGGAAATCACAGAATGGGCTCAGAAATACTTCCAGAAACCATTGTCAGTGAACACAATCCACTGTGCCATCCACTGTTGCCAGCTGAAACTCTACAGTGCAAAGAAGAAGCCATTTCTAAGCAAGATCCACAAGCTCAGGCGTTTTCACTGGGCCAGGGATCATGTAAAATGGAGTGTGGCAAAATGGAAGACTGTTCTGTGGTCAGACGAGTCACGATTGGAAGTTGTTTTTGGAAATGTGGGACGCCATGTCATCAGGACCAAAGAGGACAAGGACAACCCAAGTTGTTATCAACGCTCAGTTCAGAAGCCTGCATCTCTGATGGTATGGGGTTGCATGGGTGCGTGTGGCATGGGCAGCTTGCATGTCTGGAAAGGCACCATCAATGCAGAAAAATACATTCAGGTTCTAGAACAATATATGCTCCCATCCAGACGTCATCTCTTTCAGGGAAGACCCTTAATTTTTCAACAAGATAATGCCAGACCACATTCGGCATCAATCACAACATCATGGCTGCGTAGGAGAAGGATCCGGGTACTGAAATGGCCAGTCTGCAGTCCAGATCTTTCACCTATAGAGAACATTTGGCGCATCATAAAGAGGAAGGTGTGACAAAGAAGGCCCAAGACGATAATACAGTTAGAGGCCTGTATTAGACAAGAATGGGAGAGCATTCCTATTTCTAAACTTGAGAAACTGGTCTCCTCGGTCCCCAGACGTCTGAGTGTTGTAAGAAGAAGGGGAGATGCCACACAGTGGTGAAAATGGCCTTGTCCCAACTTTTTGGGGATTTGTTGACACCATGACATTTTGAATCCCCATATTTTTCCCTTAAAATTATCAGTCTTCTCAGTTTCAACTTTTGTTCCGTGATTTATGTTCTATTCTGAATAAAATATTGACATTTGCCATCCCCACATCGTTGCATTCAGTTTTTATTCACAATTTGTTTAGTGTCCTAACTTTTTTGGAATCCGGTTTGTATGTTTTAGTATGTTTATTTACAAAAGGAGTATTCTCTCAAGTTGCACACAGTGTACATCAGCTACTCTTTCTTTACTTATTACTTTCCCGTAACACAGAAAATAAGATAAGTGTGCAGAAAATAGTTTCCTTAATAAAAACAGTGACGGCTTTACTCGTGAGCAGCAGGTTCATGAAATACAGGAAATGATGAAATCATATCCTGTTTCAAGATTCCATAATCATTTAAATGAACAATTTGATTTAGTGGGAAAAACTCTGACTTCACCACAGCCACTCATTTAATCTTTATTATCTTTGTCTTTTTCTCCCACTGTTTTCCATTTTTAACCGCCCCTCTGCCCTCAACTCTTCATCCACTGTGTTACTCCATCAGACCTCCCCCACCACAGACCAAAACCCTTGTATGTGCCAGTGACACGGAACAATGAGAGCACCTTCTGCACAAGGGATCAGTACCTAGCACCTCGTGTGGCCTTCATCACCTGGCTTGTCACTTTCTTCCTGGAGAAGAAGTACATCAGCACTGCTGCTTCAGCGCAGAGCGCAAAGAACGGCACCGAGGTCATTCCCAAACTCATCCAGGTGAACACACAGTACCCTGTGTTGGTTTCTTCTTTCTCCATTCTGTTATTCCGAGATCTTCTTTATCCTTCAGATGTTTTTGTAGCACACCATCTTTAGCAGTAGTATAAAGACATCTGGGGTTTATGTTTCTGAACAATATTCATGCATTTATTCATTCCTAAATGTTATTTTACCTCTATATAAAACATAGTTGATCAACAGCTTCACAAGCAATACAGCATTCAACCTAAGATTATAGCTGAAATAAAATCGTGATGACGGCGATCAGGAGTCATGGAGGTTTTATTTCAGACTGCAACAGTTCTGTCACTTTCGAGTTAAATCAGTCATGGAGAAAATAAATGGATTTTTATGTGATTTATCCAGAGACAAATGCTGCATACATACTACAGTGGTTCATTTCCCTTTAAAAATGCTATAAAATACAACTAACAGCCAAGTAATCTGTGCTGAAGGAGACTGTAGTGGTCCGTGTGAGGAGGTACCCCCTACTGCATACTGAAGGACTCTCGTTCCTGGCTGTGTTTTCCAGACTGTCACTGCAGGCAGTAGCAGCCAGGAGAAGGATAAGACATCAGATGGGGACGCAAACGGACCAGCGGGGGAGCCTGAGAAGAGCCACTCCAACAGTAGCACCCTGTCAGATCGACGAGCCAGCGATTCCAGTTTGTGTAGCGTTGAGGAGGAGCACCGCCATGTTTATGACATGGTGCAGTCCATTCTGCTCTCCACCCGGGACAATGTGAACTTCGTGAACGAGATCTTCCACCAGGTGGAGTATTTCTGTCGTCTGTTGCAACCTTTGCCAGTATTTTCTATTTTGTTCTGTTGGAAGATGCCTCTAACAAAGATGCACTGCAGTAACACGGACTGTGTCGCCCTCTGCTGGCCTTTTCATTAAATTACAGATTCACATTTAAAACTAACTTTAATCCTAATGAGCCATGGTTTCTTTCTTTCTTTCTTGTTAATTTGTTTTGCAAAGGCTTTCTTGTTGCCATCCTGTGAGGCTTCTGCAACCAGGAAGGTCATCAAAGTGTACAGGAAGTGGCTCCTGCAGGAGAAACCCTCTTTCATGGCAGAGCCCGACAGAACCGCTCGGGAAGATGAAGTGGACGAATGCTCCGAACAGATTATCAGCACCGAGACAAATAACATGCACGTGCAAGTAAGTAATGCAGAAAGATGAATAAGTTTGCAATAACCTGTCACATATATAATGACTTAGTTGTATAAAAATCAGTTATGCCCTTGTTTTTTTCCCCATGCTTTCAAAAACCCGTCTTACAGGTAGTTTTTGCAGGCCTGTATCAGACTTGGTACAATTTGAGTTGAAAATCTTACAGAAAAAAACATTTAATTACTAACAATTTTGGAATAATCAGAAATGCAATAAGAATATTATTAGTTATTCACTTTCATTGTTAGACATATCTTTTCTGTTATTTGTAAACATTGATCTACCTATAAATCATATGCCTCAATAACTTAATTACCACAACATTTAAAGTGCATATTTTTACTTCAAAGCAATTAGCAGCTTTATTTTTTATTCACAGAAACTACCTGCAGCCTGTATCGATCATGCAAACGTCCAGAAATAGTGTCCTGTCTCTGCAGCCTATTGTGAGCCCCAGTTAATGGTGTAGAATGATAAAGGTGCACCAGACTGAGAAATAAACACTAAAACCCTTTTGACCATTAAAACGAACGTGTAACATGCAAATGATACGATGCATTTATGTGCATAAAACCAGCTTACGTTGATTAACTGGCCTTAGTCATGCAGTTTGTGTATACAAATACATAGAAAAACCGGTCTTAATAAATTAGTTTACGTCTACTGTGAATTTGACTGGCCGGCCTTGTCTTCTACCAGATGATGGAGAGTCACAGTCACAAGCGGTCGTCCAGCTGGGGTAGGACCTACTCGTTCAGCAGTGCCATCAATCAGGGCTTCATCACCGAGGAGGAGAACAGGAACATCAAAGCCGGCATCCAGCCAACACTACAGGTATATCTGTGTTCATAACCTCTGATGGTTGGAATTAGTGTTTTTCCAGTATTGTTGTTGTCTTAATTACTTTATGTTTGCACACATTTACGTTCGTGCAGGTGTTTCTGACCAGTTCATCCAACGTGTTTCTGTTGGAGCCATGCCAGGATGTACCAAAACTCCTGGAAAATCAGGTTGAGGTGTGCAAGGGTGTTCTTAGCATCTATCGGCATATGATCATGGAGCACTCCATGAATACACAGACGTGGTTAGTAGTATGTTTAGATGTGCAAATTTATTTATTTAAAAAAAAAAAAAAAATTTTGTGATTTTTATCCCTTTTTTTTTTTTTTTTTTTTTTTTTTTTTAATCGAATTCAATTGACATTATTGTAATTTATTTACTGTCCATGTTCTGCAGGGAGCAGATGTTGCAGGTACTACTGAGAATCACAGAGGCTGTGATGAAGAGGCCACAGGACAACCAAAGAAAAGACAGCTTTGCTGAAAGTTTAGCATCTTTGCTTTTTAGGGTATGGTTGCATTTAGTTTGTTACACACTCTGATAAACAGGCAGTCATAGAGATGGATCTGTCATCACCTCTGTTCTTTGGCTCTGAATACAGTGCGATTTGTCTTTATTTGTACACGTGCTATCAAGCCTGCTCTATATTCAGCGTGTTTGTGTCTCACTGTATGTGTAACTTGGTGCTAATTCATCATGTCTTTTCTCCTCCTGCATCCAGACCATCATTGTGGCGTGGGTACGAGCCAACCTGTGCGTATTTATCTCCCGGGAGCTTTGGGATGAGCTGCTGGCAGTGCTGTCCTCTCTTACCTGCTGGGAGGAGCTGGTGACAGAATGGGCCAGCATCATGGACTCGCTTACGGCTGTGCTGGCACGCTCCGTTTATGGCCTGGACATGGCCAACCTGCCTCTGGACAAACTCAGTGAACAGAAGGAGAAGAAGCAGAGAGGACGTGGTGAGAGGACAAAATGGGAAAAGATGAGGAGATTAGAGTGGCTTTAATTTGATTGGAAGGATGACACGGTTTATTTTTTGTCTTTTGTTTTTCTTTGTGTGCTTGACTAACTCTGACCAGTACGATTCAGTACACTTGTTTGACCTGTTTTAAAGGTGCCATGCTTAAAAGTGACCTATGTAAGGTTAAAACGATAATTCTGCCAGCTACTCTGTGTTGTTTAAAGTCAAATAAAAAGGGTTGGCCCATTAATTTTCATTCTTGTTTTTTCAGCTCTAAAATAAACTAAATGTTTAGTTTTGTTCATTACAAAATGCCCTTGAACACTTCAGCACTCACTAAGTTTTGTTCCTCGTATGTCAGGAGTGATCCAGGACTCTCAGAAGGCAGCAGCAGTTGCACGCTCATTCTCCCTGAGCTGGAGGAATCATGGGGAACAGGGCGGGCCACCAGTACAGGAGCCCATGAGGACTCGCTCAGCCACTACTTCAGGAGCACCGGGTGTGGAGAAGGCCCGGAACAATGTCCGACAGAAGGCCTCTGGTAAGTAAGCTGTGGCTCGTATGAGCCATATACATTTAAAGCAGACGTAAAATGAATTTAATACTTGGCTTTATATAAAACATTAGCATTAAAGGCACTGACAGGTGAAGAGAATGACTCAGATTATCTTGTTATGATTGCATTTTTTAAGATGCATTTTGGCTGATGCGTTAGAAGCAGGAAACAAAGCTGTTTTAAATGTGTTGTTATTGTTTTTTTTTAAAGCATTGTTCCATACGCACAGAGTATTATCTTCAGCTTTTGTGTGAGTCTCTAACACCATACTGATAACCCTTTGAAGCACAACTTTAGACCGCAGGGTTTATCAGACAGTATTATTGTGTGTGAAAGTCTTCAGACAGGTCCGTGTATACACTGGCCCAGGTGTCTCTGAAAGCCCTGACACCAAAGACAAAGAGGCCAGCAGATGGCACCTATTGTTTCCCTCACATGTCACTACCCAGTGTCAACATGTTTCCATGTCAACTGGATTGTAGGCATACAGCACAGTCCCCCTGACAGCATGTCAGAGGCCAGCTTTGGACTCTGCAAACACCCCTTATCTGATGAGAAAGTGGCAGGCTAATTATAAGTTGAGCAGTGGAGTAGTAAGAAGCTACAGTGTCTGGCTTGCTCCTCTTAATTTTGTCTAGACAGAATCTTAATGTGGGGGATAAAACACAGAGATGATCCCTTTTTGTTCCCTGGCCTTCCGCCTCACCAATTACCGCCAATGTTCTGAAATGACGAGCTCATTGAGCGAGGAGCAGACGTAATTGTGCCTGGATGACATCTTAGAAGGGGCGTGTGTGTGTGGTGTAGGTATTACTCGTGTTGTGGGGGCCTAAATTTGTTTGTCTACACAGTCTCATTATGGAGACGTGTCTTCCCTATGGAGGCGAAAAGCAAGAGCCTGTAATATAAATCGCACACATTTAAAGGTTCAAGTAAGGTCACTTTTAAGGTTGTGGTGTGTGTGTGTGCGTGCGTGTGCATGCGCGCGTGTTCTCGATCTATTATGCGTCCCATGCACATGTTTATCCACCTATTATGCTGGTCTGTTTATTTGTATCTGCGTACAAGCAAAGATGGACATGAAACACTACTGCTTGAAATTCCCTTCCCTTTCTTTGGCCTAATTGGATTTCTCCCACATTGATCTTCAAAGGCCGAGCAGCCCTCCTCCCTACTCCTCAAGAGAAGGCCCACACATCAATTGCATGGCAGTTTTTGATAGTTTCATTAAGAGTGTAATTAATGCTCATTAATATGCATAAATGGGATGCAGTGGCGGGCTGGAGGAGACGATGTATCTCTCTCACTGAAAGGCATAATTAAAGTGTGCTGAAAGCAGAGAATAGAACTGTCCTCTTTCTCTGCTCCCTTTGAGATTAAACCTGAAGTGCTATTCAGGCACAATGGCAATGCCTCAGCATTGACAACTGTCAAAACTTGGTTGCACTTAAGCATGCAAATGCAAACTAATATTGTTCTGAGATCATGTCTTGATAACGAAGGAAGGGGCTCAAAAATTCATTACAGTACTCATTAAGCTTCTACAGCTTCAAGGACCCAGTTGAACCGGCTCTCAGTCTGCCAGAGATGAGATGGTTATCAGGTCTTCTAGAATAATGCAGAGAGTGAGATCAAATGTTTTCTGCTTGGCGTGTACACGGGTAATTATTTTTATTAATTTTTCATTTTTTACTGCATAGTGTGTGTAGCCCTGCAATATACTGGCGACCTGCCCAGGGTGTACTCAGACTCTCACCCTGTAACACCTGGATACACAGCAGCCATCCTGCCTTGTATATGTGTGATGGATAAGTTCTGTTGCTCTCTTTCTTAGGTTGCCCTTGAGAGAGAGAGAGAGAGAGAGTGTGTGTGTGTGTGTGTGTGTGTGTGTGTGTGTGTGTGTGTGTGTGTGTGTGTGTGTCTCAATGAAAATTTTAACTACACAAATTTTTATCATCATTATTTGAATCTGCATGGATTTAGGGGAGAGTACTAGTCTATAGACTGATATGCGTTTCAGCTGATAAGGAGCAAAAAATCAGTTTGAAAATACTACAGATACTCCACACTGGAAGTCACGTATTGCCATTTGCAAATATGTTACTACATGTCAGAAAATGTATCTTTTAATTTAAAATGAATGTCAGCTGTATGTCATTATTATTTAGGAATAAATTAAAAAGCCTCCTCATGATCATCTTAAAAGGGTCACGCGGCTGTTAAATAATCATAATAATAATCAGTTCACTAAATTCAGAACCAAGACATCGCTGATCTTTGTTTTTGCTTTTTGGAGGAAAACTTTAGCATTCGTGCTCATTTTCTATATAGTTTCTTTACTTCTGTTGCACATTTAAAACCAGAGATTTTCACAGTAAAATAAAATCTAAAATTGACATAGTGCAGAATCAGTGTTTCTTCATTATCTGAGAAATGTGTATTACCAGTTTTTTATTTTATTGTCTTCCAGGCGTTTTGATTTCTTTCCCTCGTGATTTATATTTGGTAGATTTTGTGGTATTGCTGTGCTGATTTGTGTTATGATTTTCTATATTTTTTTCTGTATAAAATCTTTAAATCTCACTTTTGTGACAGTGTCCCTTCATTTTTATTTATTTATTTTTTTGACTGGTTTTAAAATATTTTCTCTCTTAAAGCCGTTTTATTTTAACCTGTGACTCACATGCGACTATATTTGGATCAAACTCTGGTGCTGCTGGTCTTCAATTGCTCCATTTTCACGATCAGAATTGAATTTATTAGCAGAAGCTTCTTTGCAGCATTTTGTACTTTACGATCATTGAATATTTGCTTCTTTCCTTTACCTTTTTTCTCTTCCCACTGTCTCTCTTCTTTTTCCTCTTCTTTCTCCTTCCCTGATGGAAGCTAAGCGAAGCCAGTCCATCAGCAACTGTGTTCATCTATACGAGGCTTTGCCCACTACTAAAAGTGTTCCTATGCTGCTCCACACTGTGAGCTCTTTCTTGCCTGGTATCTCTTCTGGTAACTCTGCTTGCTCTCACAGACTCTCAGGTAAAGTATTGTGAGAGCTGCATGTGTTTGCATGTTGCGTGACCTTCGCCCAGCCTTTCCCATTCATATTCAGTCACAGTCTCTCGTATAGCACCCTGAACTTTTTATTTAATCCATGTTGTTGGATGATCTGACTAATGCATTTCTCAAGATTGCCCCGGTGCCTTGTGCTGTCCTTAACAAGTGTATGTATCACCGTTGCATGTTTGCATGCCCTGTTTTTCCTCACCATGTTTCATATGTGTGAAATCTTTGTCTGTACAGTGTCTGCAAGTCATATTCCAGTGTGTTTCCATGATATTTGATCCGTATTGCACCTCTTCCTGACCATGTCTTTGTCTTCCCGACTGTCAGATGTGGAGGAGTGTCAGCTGTCAGAGTGTGGGGGAGAGGAGGAGCTGGGAGGCAGAGACAGTCCTCTGCCGCGTAGCAGCAGCACCTCAGACATCACCCAACAGCTGTCTGAGACCTTACCAGGTATATACAAGCGCAAAGCACTTTTTAATCTTCTGTATACACTCACTGAATACTGTATTAGGTACACCCTACAAGTACCAGATGTTTTTCCAATCATCTGCTGTCCAATTTTGCTGAGACTGTTCAAGGTGTAGCCTCAGTTTCCTGCCGCTGTAGCTCATCTCCTTCAAAGTTTCAGTTATTGGTATTCAGAGATGCTCTTCTGCACACCCTGGTTGTAATTAGAGGTTATTTGAGTTATTGTTGCCTTCCTATCCACTTAAAGCAGTTTGGCACTTACTGAGAACTATTGCTCACTGGACAATTTCCTTTTATAGGCCTATTCAACTATTTTCAGTGGAATTACTCCTCTTTTATTCAGTTTGTGTGTTCAGCTGTGATACAAATTAACCCTGCAGTTTCTTTATAAAAGAGAAGTAATCTGTCACTTCAGTTGTCTTTATTACACCACTATCCAGTGCAATATTACGGTATTAATCTTATTCGGTTTTTCAAAGCAATACAAAAAAAGCAAATAACAGCTTGTTATTCACAGTTAAAAATTTAACCTCGTGATAAAAAGGATATGAAAAACAGGCCAAACACCAAATTGAATTTTTCTGTTTAGTCTGATTTTCATAAACAGGAAGTTACTGACTTCTTTACACTTTATAAGCTTGGAGCAGAAACGGCTGATATAATCGTGCAGCTCGAGTTTGCAAATGAGTTTGAACATCATATATTTGCACATACATGTACAAAAACAACCATTTAGAAAAAACAGCTCTGTAAGCAAATTAAAGAAAGGTAAAATTCATTATTCTTCTTTTCAACAAGATGATGTGAGAGTGGACTTGTATAGTGTGAACACTTTTTATTATTTACATTACAGTCAACTGGAATTTTTCATTTTAGCAGCTAAGCCTGATATGTTTGATTTTTAAGCATGAATAGTTAAACAGACCTTAAACTGTATGTCAGAGATCTTTGGTGTTATTATTGTTTAAGTGATGAGACGGTGGATTTATGAGCCAGTGCTAGTCAGCTTGGTTTAGAAGCTGCATTGCACAGAAACAGGTGTCTGCTAATTATTTCAGAGATGCAGTACATCCAGAGTATTCACAGCATTCTCCGGCTGGAATAAAGCTGCCGCGTTAACGCCCTATTCCAAATAGATTCAATTCATTTATCACAATAAAATTCTGCACACAATAGTGAAGTGAAAAAGTTGCTTGAAATTCTGGCAAATTTATTAAAAAAATTAAAGTATTCACAGCTCGTGCTTAATAACTTGGCAGCAATTGCAGCCTCAAGTCTTTTTGAGTATGATGCTTCAAGGTTGGCGCACCTATTTTTTTGTTGGGGGGGCAGTTTCTCACATCCTTTGCAGAAACTGTCAAGCTTGGTCTGAATCAGGAGCTTTGGTGCACAGCCATTTTCAGGTCTCTCCATAGTTGTTCAGTCAGTTTCAAGTCTGGACTCTGGCTGAGGCACTCGGGGCATTCAGAGAGTCTCAAAGCCACTCCTTTGTTATCATGGCTGTGTGCTTACGTTTCTTGTCCTGTTGGAAGATGAACCTTCAGCCCAGTCTGAGGTTCAGAGCACTCAGGAGCAAGTTATCATCAAGCATGTCTCTGTAGATTGCTGCATTTATGCTGAAATGCATCCCAACAACTTGATGCTACCACCATGCTTTACTGTAGGGACGGTGTCCCAGCAACAATGGTTACTGTAAGGTGCTTTATATTTTAAGGTAAAGACCCTACAATAATAACGAGGGGGGAAAAAATCACATGTCCTCTATGAGCAAGCGTGTTGGCGACAGTGGGGAGGACAGAGGACATGCTGTGGAAGAGAGCCAGAGATTAGTACTAACAAATAAGTGCAGAGAGGTGTACAAACACATAGTGAGTGAAAAAAGTGACTGAGGAAGAAATGCTCACTGCATCGTGGGAATCCCCCAGCAGCCTACACCTATTGCAGCATAACTAAGGGAGGATTCAGGGTCCCCTGATCCAGCCCTAATTATGTGCTTTGTCAAAAAGGAAAGTTTGAAGCCTAATCTTAAGTACAGAATTCTCGGTCTCCTGAATCCAAACTGGAAGCTGGTTCCACAGAAGAGGGGCCTGAAAACTGAAGGCTCTGCTTCCCATTCTACTTTTAAATACTGTAGGAACAACAAGTAGGCCTGTGTGAGAGCAAAGTGCTCTAATCAGATGAGAGACCTTTTGGCAAACTCCAGGTGGGCTGTCATGTGCTTTTTACCTGAGAAGCATCTTCCATCTGGCTACTCTACCATTCAGGCCTGAAGTGCTGCAGAAATGGTTCTTTTAGAAGGTTCTCCTCTCTCCAGTGTAACTGGACGCTCTGGCGCTCGATCAGAGTGATAATCGGGTTCTTGGTCACCTTCCTGAGCCTGTGTGCTCTGATTGCTCTGATTGGTCAGACGACCTGCTTTAAACATATTCATTTATTTATTTTTTTATAATTAAGATCAGGGCTACAGAGATTAACTGAACATGTTCCAGTTTTTGGTAGAGACCAAATCAGAACTGTTTGTTGCCTTTCAGTCCAGCAGAGAGAGTACTCGCCTACTTCCTGTGGTTCTGATAGCAGGATGTCTGAGGGCAGGACTGAGAGCAGTGAACCACCTGTGGTGAGAACATTCATCCTCAACCATCGTGTTAGCTTAAAATAAGATTGATCAACGCTTGGTTCATCTGTTTAAATGTTTGTCTTTGTTGTAGATCCTCATCCGACGGACCAGCAGCTCAGCTGAGACAGAGTGCAATACTGAGGGACACGCAAACTACACGAGGCCCAAGCTCAGAGAGAAAAGTTAGAAGTTATAATCACGGTTTAGTTTTAATGTTAAACATAAATTGCTTTTTAAAAATGTGAATTTTCATCAGCATACTCTGAGACTATAGCATATAAATATGTAATTGTTGCATTGGATATTACAGTTTTCCTTACAGAGCTAGTAGGCTCCATTTGAAGCTTCTTTTGCTTTTTTTTCTTTCTTGAATTTAATCTTTTCACCTTACCTAGGTGAGAGTGTTAGTAGCGAGACGTCCAATGGCTACCTCAATGAAGCTGAAGTTACCTGGCAGGCGTTTGATGAGGAAGCCGATAATCAGTCCACGCAGTCGGCACACATGGACGTAACAGTTGATCCTCAGAGCCAGGGGAGTCTGCTGCTCAGCCATAATGAAGCTTTAGCAGGTAGAAACTCACAGCATGCCCCTAAATCTTGATGCAAGTGTCTCTATTAAATGTCTCTGTTTAGCTGTGCTTGTTACAGTTTGTTTGAGCTAACAAATCCAGTCAGAGTACTTGATTTATGTCTGTCTGCAGCCTGCAGCTGGTTTGATACATATAATAGTTAGCAACAGAGCTAATATCCTCATTATTATAAAGGAAGCCCTTTGTGACCATTCATCACAGTGATTAAATTATTTGGGACACTTCAGCAGTTGTGCAGTTTAAACTGGGTTTTGTAACGTTGCTCTTGATTGATAGATTGATCAATCTTAGGAAGGGTGAAAAACCTAATATTGTCTAGATGACTTCTCCCAAGCAATTTAAGATTTTAAATCTGCTCAGAGTTTGTGGTGTTTGAAAAGTGGAAATGTTATGAAAGGAAAAGTAACCTGTGGTCTCTGGTTTGTTTAAGGTATCTACAGATGTTTGACAAATTTAAGGGTGGAAAAAAAGATGCGCTGTTGTAGTATGGAGAAGAACCACCACAGCATCATTTTACTTTTTGCCCCTTGGAGGGATAGAACACATTTTTTCCAGGAAATATTCCCTCATTTGGTTTTCTGATGCTGTGCAAAAACTCATAGGTACTGTCTCATGTGTAATCAGATAGGAAGTGAAGTGGTGACTGTGGATAGCATGTGGTTCACATAATTTTCATTCAGTGAGAGCATTGTCATGTTGGAGGAGACTACTCCCATCAGGATAGAGATGTTTCATTAACCAGGAAAAATGGAGGAGGGGCTTGAATTAGCTGGTTTGTTTTTCCTTTAATTTGTCACCTGTCAATTTCTGTGAGGGGGGGTTACCACAACATCCCTTCAGCTTTGAGGCTTTTTATTTATTTACTCCCTCCCCCCTCGTGTATGCAGATATTGTCGTCCCCCTGTCTGCCCTTCCCACCCTTGTACGTGAACTTCTGTGTTTCCCACATTGTGATCACTGCCCCTCTGCTCTGTTCCTCAAACCCAGTTTGATCCATGTCCACTTGTTGTTTTTAGGTCCTGAGTGTGCTCTCCCTACCCACTCCGCATCCCCGTCCTACCACCACAACCACCAAAACCACTACCACTACCCCCAGAATCCCCCCGCTTCACCAGGCCTGCTGGTGCACACAGAGTGCCCACGGGATTGCCCCCTGGACGACACCATGCATCAGTCTGTCTTACACATGCCACACCACTTGGGTACTGCTCCCTAGCTGCTACTCATCATGTAGACCACAGTCTTCATCTGCATTTCACTTCTTTGTCTTAAATTCCCCCTGTAGATTTTTCTATTTTCTTTTTCTTTGTTTGGTTTGATGCTACTCTTACTTAAAGTAGTTGCTTTGTCATTATTCTGCACACATAATACAAAATAATTGTTCTTTTGTTTCTTCTTGTAAACAAATGAGCAATCTTTTATCTTTTTTTCCCTGCAACTAAATTTAAAAACAGTGAAACAGAAAAAACTTTCAGAAGTCATTTGAATCACCTCACATCAGCTACACTATCATCTGTCTTTCCAAGCCTTTACTCCCTCAGGTTCTCATTGCTCTCCTGCTGCCCACTAGGTGGCACTGTCCTGCCACAATTCACTTGGATGATGCATGTGGTTTCTGCCTGTTTCCCAAAAGTATTTGAGTGTTTTATTCACTTGCATAATGCGTTTGGGGAATATGCACCAGATAACTTAAGGATTTGGTCAACAGCTGCTCTAACGACGCATTAGCATTGAGAGTCAAATCAATTCATTTTATTATAACTGTATAAAGTTGATCTGCATTTGTTGACTGAATCCATTCAGCTAAATAAAATGAAGTCTTTCTTGGTACTGGCAAAGTGTTGCCAAATAATAATTTCTGTAACCCACATCACCCATTACTCTTTCTATGTGACCATGCAGATAGCAGTGAGTTTCTGGCTGATGATGTCAGCATCATTGCTGGTGGGACTCTGACTGGCTGGCATGCTGATTCAGCCTTCGTCCTGTGGAGGAGAATTTTGGGTATCTTGGGAGATGTCAACAATATCCGCTGCCCCAAAATCCATGCCAAGGTCTTCTCCTATCTCTATGAGCTGTGGCACAAGCTGGCCAAGGTACAATAAAGACATAATCAGCTGATGATAAACCAGTAATTCCATATGTTATTTGTACACGAGCATAAAAAAAAAAAGCCTACATCAAAGTGATGCTTTTAAATCCTCTTTATGTCAAAGACAGATAAAATTTCTATAAAAAAATATGACATTTTAAATCAGACATTGTATTCTGTACTTCCTAAAGCAGAGAGTTTGAACCAAGCATTAGATATGATGTGTTATTCAATGAAGTGAAATGTTTGCTTACAGATTCGGGACAATCTTGGGATTAGTGTGGACAACCAGTCTTCTCCGCCTCAACCTGCCTTCATCCCACCTCTTCGAATGCTTGCGTCCTGGCTTTTCAGGGTATGAACAATGCAAAGACACAGCAGATGTTCAAAACGCTTTTTATATGTTAGTGTGCACACAAGCTATGGATGAAATACTAAAACCTAAAAATGATTTATAGATCTGATTGCCGGATCCACTGTCATGTCATTAAAAGTAAATATTAAAACATTTAGAGTGAATTTCTCAATTGGTGCTATTTGGGGGGGGGGGGGGGGGGGAAATCTGGGAGGATCTTATAATGCTCAGAAGGCAATATCATTACATTTCCAGGAGCAGCAAAAAGTAATCAATGCAGCTGAATGGTTAGCCTTGGCGGCAACAAACATATTAGTATTATCTAATCAAACTGTTTATGCAAACCAATAAAAGGAAGAATGTTGCCTCAATATGTGTTATGTCTGTATGAGGGAAAATTTAGTGGTTGGTGTTGGATTTTTTTTTTTTTTTTTTTTTTTAAATGGGTGGGGGACATCAGCTTCTCAAGCCTCTGCTGCAGCTTAATAGAATAGAAGTGTCTCCAGCTCCTGATAATGGCACTCCTCCCCTCTTTAGGGCACCATGCTGCCTGCAGAGTACAAGGCTGGCAAACTGCAGGCCTTCAAGCTGATCTGTGAGATGATGACCAGGCACCAGGATGTGCTCCCCAACAGTGATTTCCTGGTGCACCTTTACCACATCATGCACAAGGGCTTCATGAGCGATGACCCGGTAAGGCTCCTGCACAAAAGCTGCCGGTTGTTCCTTTTTCCTCCAGTAGATGGCGCATTGGTCAAATCAATGTGCATCAGCCCTGATTAAAAACTGAAAAGCAATTAAGGCTGTTTGTTTTTGTCAGTTTGCCATTTACTTTTTTTAATGTGTGATTTTTGTCGTATTCAACTGGTTGTATTTGCTGCAATCTTTGTACTCGTGTCAGTACTAGTCATGTGTTTGGAGTGATGAGTTAGGTTCAAGGGTTTCTTGGCAGGAGTGAGGACACAGTTTATATAGGTTTATGATTGTGACCCTTGTTTTATTTAAAAAAAGAAGGTGAGGAGGAACATTACTGTGTTTTGGCATCTTCCACCTCCTTCAGCCACACCCTTCCTAGTATTCAGGTCTGGCATTGCTCCATTGCTTCTGCACAAAGCTGAGTGGTTATGAATGGAGTTCCTCTAAATAAAAACATGAAGATGAAAATGTGTGTAAGAGATGTTTTGCATGCTACTGTGTGTGTGTGTGTGTGTGTGTGTGTGTGTGTGTGTGTGTGTGTGTGTGTATATAAAGGACTGTAGATTTATATATGCCCTCCTCGCCGGGTTTCTGTTGCGCTTTGGCTGTGTGACAAGCTTATTAGAATGTTTTCCATGTCGTTAAATAATGTTTTGAGCCCCTGCCGCGTATACGTGATTAATTAAGGACTGACGTCTGTCGCGCTCCGTTAGACTGACACGTCGGCCGGGGGCCCGGAGTAGACTGGCCCGCTTGCCTCTGTGTATGCGAGTGTGTGTGAAGGAGTGGGAGGGGAGCCTGGGGAACGTAGTGCAGAGTAGAGCAATGAGGGGGGCACTCTGAGAGAGCAGGCAGCATTCTCAAGCTTTTGTTGTGGCTCTGTATAATGCGTTGGGGGGCCAGAGCCAGGCTGGCCACTGAAGCATGCTCAAATTGGCCAGAGAAAAGAGTCCTCACGCCACACAATAGAGGACAGCCGCACGCCTGCTTAACATAAGAAAGTGGCTCTTACTCTCCTCCTCCTTCCTCTCTGCCTTCACCCCACCCCCCCAATGCACCTAAAACATTAAGCTTCTTTATTTATAAGCTTTTTCTGGAGGCTCCAATTATAGGACTTATTTTTTTTAATGTTTTTTTCTTTGTGCGTTTAATATTAGACATCTGAAGATGTTTGGTCTTTTTGTTCAACAGCATCTCTCATATCTTTAGAAATGAATGCTGAATGTATAGTCTGCCTGTCAATGGAGTAACACAGTCTGCCTTAAACAGCCATGCTTTATAGACAGCAGGGGGAATCCCAGTGTAAATCCTCACCAATAAAATCAACTAAGCTTGGAGGAAAATGACATTTCCCTTGGAGGGATTCTCCTTCCAACTGACAGAGTGCCAAGGTCAGGGCTATTGTCCTGATAGTCTGTCAGTCTCTGGTCACTGGTCTCACAAAAGCATGACCACCGCACAATGGCAGTAATCTATCTAATAGGTCTGCAATCTGGAGTGCAATAGTCAACAGCATATTTTGCTAAACATAATAAGTGCACACAAAGCTTTAATGCATCTATTCACCTTTTATTCTTTAGGTTAAAGAAAGGGCTCGAAAGCACTAACACATTTGCACAAACACACAGATTTCAGCACCTGTGCAGAGCTGGCTTCTCCTTTTAACTCGGTTCATCTTGTCATTCCCTAAAAGGAGGCTGCTGCATAATTTATATAGTGTCAGATTAAAATGTGAAGGTTGACCCGTAGGCCACCGACACGGCTGTTGATTAAACTGCTCGTGGCTACAACAGCCTGCAGGTAGGTTATTATCCCTTTCTTACAACTTGTGAATGAATTACAATAGGAAATATGTCCCCATGCGAAACTGTACATTTAAATTGGTAAATTTTGGGATTCTGTGAGGAGTGATGTAATGCCAGAATGAACCCCGTCACCCCAGGGGCCAGCAGGTGGAAAGCGTTTGCTTTCGTGAAAATGAGGCCACATAAAAAGGCCTGAGGTGGCTCTATTCAGAGTTACGTTAATGCACCTTTTGTTGATGCAGGGGCTATTCCTACTGCCAACACAGCGCCGCATGCGGTTATTCCCTTTCCACATTTCTCTGTTCTGATTTCTATACACACTTCAAATCAGGTTCCCTCTACTTGCACGTACAATTGAAAGCACTTTGCATTCTACATTTGTGGCTTCCTCTAAAATGCTCATTTCAGGCAATCAAGAAACTGTTTGTTGCCTGCTAATTACCTCTGACTGCACTACACATTATGCTTCAGAGGTCAATTACCAACAAAACGAGGGTAAAATGGGCCCTCAATCCCGAAGCTCTTCCCACCAATTTTCCACATGTGTTGCTGGTGTTGGTTTGACTTCCTACTAGTCTTCTCTGTGTTTATTCTATTCTGTTGTTCACCTGGATTCCCTGTTTACCAAAGCTCTGGGTGATTAATGTCGCGCATAGATAGTGGTACTGTGTGTGTGTGTGTGTGTGTGTGTGTGTGTGTGTGTGTGTGTGTGTGTGTGTGTGATTGAGAGTGAGAGAGAGAGAGAGAGAGAGAAATTGTTTGTTAAGGTGCCCTTCGGTTCAGCTAGAAACGGGCTGATGTTTGAACTGTCCGATTTACACAAGTTTATGGCCAAGAAGGCAGGTGTTTGGAGCCTGGACCTTGCCTTCATACGCAAATATGCGCATGCATGACTCGGATAAGAGAGACAGCAATCTTTCCGTCTTATTTAGATGCTGCATTCTTTTATTCTTAAACTAATTTTTTTTTTTTTTTTCCCAAGAGTATTTCCTGTGTCCGTCAATGGTGAAGAAATGAGCGTCTTTGCTGTAAGATTACCAGCTAAATATAGTCTGGAAATTCTCAAGCATCCTTTTACGCCCTTCACTAGTGCAGTATTATACTGTACATACTTGAGCAGTTTGTGCAGAACCCTCTGCAATACAGCATATGCCTGTGTTGAAAGAGCACCCATCTGCCACTGAGCCGCCTGCACCTCAACCAAACAATACCTTGTCTCTGGCTTTAATTACAGGTTTGCTTGTGTGTGTACATACATGTGACTCTTGAAAGTTGAGGTCTTTTGTTCTCCCTCTTATCCACTGTGAACAATCCATCTGCTGTCTCTCTCTTCTGTCTGTCTTTCCCACTCTGTTTTTTCCCCCTTTTTTTGTCCTTTGGTGACATGCACTGTTGAGTGCTTTACTCTCCTCAGCACGCTTAAAATGCTTAGCCTACCTGTTGAAGTGAAAAGCTTTCTCGGTGCCACGTCTCTCACACTGTGGCCCATTTACAAAATATTTCTGATACTGCTTCACTCCACCCACACTAACAACACACGAGGCTCCCCCCAAATGCAAAAATCCCGGGCTGTAATCGTAAAAAATTTTGGAGAATTAAAAGAAGGAAAAAAATCTGTTTTTGTTCTGTTATTCAGGCTGTTCCTAAATAAAGTCTGCAGAGATATAATAACGGAGATTGCTGCAGACATGATGACAGTTTATCTGTGTCCATGCTTATCATCAGGATGTTTTGAACACCATCATCCGCTCCTGCTCTCCTCGATTCTTCTTCCTCGGCCTGCCGGGCTTCACAATGCTGATTGGAGATTTCATCACTGCTGCTGCCTGCGTCCTCACCTCTGGCTCCTCAGAGGTACAAACACACTTTCAACTTTTATTTGATATTTCAGTCATACAGGAATTTATGAGTCAAGAACTAGAAAAAGGTTTCAGATTTTTTTTCTTTTTTCCCACAAATCAGTAGCACTGTAAATCTGCAACAAAGATGATAAAATTCTTCACAAAACATCATAAATCATCCTTCTCATATTTTGCAGCTGTTTGACATTGAAAAGCTGATATTGTTTTGTGACATTTTTATGCTTTTAGCAATAAAAAATGTATTTGAGGCACCAAATAGCAGAAATGTTAAAAAAACAAAATACAAACTGCACTTACATGTAGGACTGAGCAACTGTGGCTGAAATTAGAATTATAGATATTTTGTCTTACTATGATTATTCATCATGATAGATGACTTCATGTTTGAGGACTAAATGAAATACGTAAATATCCTTTTTTTCATTAAATCCACACAAGTATTAAATGAAAAGTCTTAATATGACTGTTGGTCATGTTCAGTTAATGTTGTAGACCATCTGTACAAGTGAGCATATGGACTTTAGATAGAGAGAGAGCTGATCTGGAGCAGATCAATATTATGGCCGCTATCTGTTACTTGCACAGCTTTAAACCCGAATATGGTTCAGTTGATGTTAACTGTCATTTATCAGGTGTGTATGTGTTGCTTCTTCCTGTTTTTGCCATTACACGTACCTCCCAGCATAGATTTGTTCTCGCTCCTCAGTTTAACAGCAGCTCATCAGGTGCGGCAGCACAACCTGCTACAGAGCTGCACCCATCATGCATTTAATCAATCATTTTGTTGTCCAGCGCCTAACATGTGCGATGTTTTTCCGTCAGCAGAATCATGAATAAAGATGAAATTAAATCTGCAAGCTCCCTCAAATCCTCATCCATCGTATGCGTTCTGCGCCTTTCGCTTGAAGCGGGTTGTTTATGTGTTTGTCTCTGGTATTAATGATGCCGTGGGTTTGGTTTTCTTTTTTTAAAATTTCCTCCAGGCTCCGAGGGTGGAAGCTCAGACGATCCTGGGCTCCCTCGTGTGTTTCCCAAACCTCTACCTCCAGATTCCTATACTGCACCGTGTGCCTGGCTCTGATGACATCAGTGTGAGCAATGAGGACATCAAGGTAAACGCTCATGATGTGCAATGACGGGAATACGGACACTTCATATAAAAGCAGATGTTGTTTTAATTAGGATCAATCAGTCGTCTGCTGTGTAAATCATGACAAACTTATCCTAAACGTTATTAGATACAGCAGTGTGAACATCACACTGATTTAACATGACTACAAGGCTGTGTGTTACAGTTAATGGCGTCTTATTGTTATAAAGATGAAGGAAGGAATGGCTTGGATTGTCACTGAGAACTGTTAACTGGTGTTGTCGTTTCTGTTCAGAATTACTTGGTCAACATCCTGCTGGAGACGGCAACGAAGGAGCACTATGAAGGGGCGAGGTATGATTAGTAATTCTTTTGTTGCACTGTCTGATATGATCGCGTTTTACACACGTTCCAAGAAAAGGTTTGGGAACCTGCTCGTCACTGTTTTCTAATACTGTTTCTATGTTGATCACTCCTCGATAAATACAGAATACATATTTTTTAACAATCTTGTCCACCTGTAAGCTTTGGATTACACCTGCCTCTCCTCCTCCTGCTCTATCATATTGTTGTTATTGTCATCATGACATGTTTTGAAATGCTTCCGCAGCCTTTTCCTGCTTTGTTCTTCCACTAAATTGTCATTGAGGCATTGTTGACACCAGCCAATCATTTTTAAGAGGGGCAGACTAACTAACCACACTTTACCAGCCTCCTCTTTTGGAGAAGCACCTCTACAGCCAACACTTCCAATCTCAAAACTCACTCAAGTAGCTTGTGGAGAACTCATTAGCTTCGAGGTTCACTTCATTTTTCCAGGCTGCACTGTGAATGATTAGTGTTCAATAAAGACATAAACTGGAGCGGTTTAGTTTTGTAAACAAACAAAGTACAACCAATCAGTGCAGACATGTATTCATTCCAACATTTAGTTTCTCTTTGCAGCTGTACATTTCTGTATACATAAGGAATTTGAAGAGGCTAATGGTGGTGAAGCAGTGGCTACCCGTCATTAAAATTTGATGCAATGCTTCTAAAGCCTGTTTGCAAAAAAAAAAGTCCAAATGTTCATGGTTTTAATTATATAGTAGTTTATTTCTCAAAACATCTGATCCCATTCAGATCCTGCTCTACTTAAATCTGCACATTTTGTTCTCTGCTGCTGCCATTCAGGTGCATTGCTGTGTGCAGCCTGGGTCTGTGGGTGTGTGAGGAGCTAATGCAAAAGAACATCCACCCCCAGGTTAAAGATGCCATCAATGTTTTGGGAGTGACACTAAAGGTGAGTGAACCTCTTACCCGAGGACGCTGCACTTGTGCATTTCCAGTTTCATTTACAAGAAACTACAGGTGCGCTTTTTTTAAATGCTTGTGTCATGTGCTGAGAACACAGATAAGCCCGCTGTCCTGAAATGAATGGGTGTTGGAAGCTGTTTTTTTTGTGCAAACCTTACATTGTTTATCTCAAACTAAAATGACAGTTGATTACATAAAAGGACTGCAGAAAATTTTTCAACACAGGCAAAAAGTGTGAGAATAAAATGTGACTCGTGGGTATATTCTGGAACAGGCCTTTTTTCTCCCTAAGTGAAGAGATGCAGAGAAGCTGTGGGTTTGTGGGCTTTTTTGGTTTAGTTTTTTTTTTTTCTTCCATGGGAAAAGGGTTTGGGGCGGTGGCGTAATTTCCAGGCTGCTCACTCTCAGTAGATGTGGGCCAATTTAAGCAGCTACATCTCCCAGCTTCCTGCTCGAGCAAAGCCCCCACCCATCCCCTCGCCCCCTTCTCTAATGGAGCAGTAATCACTCCCCTGTACAACTTGACACACAGACTCAGCCAGCCCCAAAATAGAGGGTATAGGCTGGGTGGGGGATCTAGGGGGAAGAGTGGCACTGAGAGTCTCTTTTCTAAAAGCAGGTGCTGAACTCTCAGGGCCCCTTTTTGTGTTTGGCCATTTCTGCACTCCCCACATTGTCTGCCCTTGTTACATGTTGAGAGGCATTCAGCTGGAAGAAATAGGAAATTCTATTTCTCCACAAAGAATTTCAAATCACTGAAGAAATCCACATTTGAAAGAAAATTGTCAACAACTCAATTCTTTCCTTCAATGAGTCTGGGGAAAATGAACCATGGTTTGAAGTGAAATGAAATTATGCTGATTATCTGCACAGTAAGTGCAAAACTAAATTTAAGGAAAATTACTCCAAATTTTGGCACAGTCAGTGTGTCCTCAAACTTTTTTTTTTCACTGTCTTTAATCAGCATTGTCCCGGTGCTGTTTTACAAATTACGTGACACAAATGCAGCAAGAGATTTTGTTCCTGCGTTACTCTCTGGAAGCTCTGAAAGAGACATTTAAAAGCCTTAAAATCAGGGATTCTGCAGATAATTAATGTTCTGCCTTAAGATCACACATTACATTCAAAGTACTTCTGTAGTTCTAGTGTCTTTAAAAAAAACTGGCCCATTTTTTTAAGTGTAAGGAGAGGCTCCACTGAGGTTTATGTATCTGCAAAATTTAAAGAGTATCATGATAAAACACGTTCTTTCCCTACAGTGTTTAGATTGAAAATGAACTATTGGTTAGATTAAAAGTTCCAATGAAGATAAACATTAAAAAATGGTTGTTTTTGTGGGGTTTTTTAAGCATGACTCCTCATGTTTTTGTCAAATCTGATAGCCGATGTCATACCAGAATGATTTGACCATGTTCCAAAAAGCTTCTTGTGATGACAGGAGAGCTTGACTTTCTCGCTCTTCAAACACAAGTTCAGCTGAGTCGAGGTCATTGAGGGTGGAAGAAAGTCTACGACAGTCTGCACTTCTCAGTCTTCTTTGGTCTTCAAGTAGTTCCTGCACAGCTCTGAGATGTGTTTGGACAGGAGTGTGAATCCTTGTCTGCAGAAATGCAAATCAGCGGGTGGAGCTTGTCTCTGCAGAATCGAGGGGTGTCCAACTCGAGAGGAGTTGATATTCCCATCACTCTTTTTTTCTCCCTCTCGTATCCTTCTGTTACTGCCGTAGATTTCAGAGATGGATTCATCTGTAATCAAGTGTGAAATGCTGGTATGTCTTAGCCCAGCCCAAGCATTTGGCCTTGTTTCCCCTCCTGAAAAGCAGTTTACTGACCACTAACTTTGCTTTTTTTTTATTTTTTATTTTTTTTTATTTAAGTGTTAAATTCTTTATTCAGCAGGCTTTTTTTTCCTTCAGGTCTGCCTACCTGATCACTTTTCCTTAAAGTGTTTCAGAGGTCTTACTGTGGGTACTGTCCTCTTACAAGTCTTCAGTGTATTTTACACCCTTTGACACTGAAACTTGTCTTACTTCTGATCTCGATCACATCATGTTATTTAACTCTGCTGGAAACTTGAGGCACTTTAAGTAAGATTTTGTTGAATAAGCCTCTTGTGAATTGATCAAATCCACCTCTTAAAATGGTCAGTGCCACAAAGCTCCTACAGCTCCACCTTAATGCTCCTACAGCTCCACCTTGATTAAAACAAAACATCTTAAATGTCTTCCTCCATTGTATATAAATTTTATATCCCTAAACTTACTGATTATCTTCAGTATGACATGAAAACATGGCAGATATTCAACATTGTACCAGGGTCCCACTATACGCTTCTATTGGAAAATTACGTTTTTATATACACTTGTACATGTGTGAATACACACATCTGGCATTGTATTAGTTAACTCTTTCTAATACCAGGTTGGGCCCTCTTTAACCTTGAGAACTGTTTTAATTCTGGAAGGCACAGATTCAAGGTGCAGGGAGCATTCCTCAGAGATTTTGGTCCATATCAACATGATAGCATCGCACAGCTGCTGCAGATGTGAATCTCCTGCTCCACCACATCCCAAAGGTGCTCAAGTGTGCTGAGATCTGGTGACTATGGAGGCCATTTGAGTGAACTCATCGTCGTGTTCAGAAACTGTTTGTGCAACACACTGTGTCCCAAATTTCAAATCAAAGGGGTGTGCGTGGCTAACAACAATAGTCAGTTGGTACTGAGGGGTCCAAAGTGTGCTAATAAAGTATCGCCCAACACCTGTGCACTACCAGCAGCAGCATGAACTATTGATACAAGGCATAATGGATCTTTCATGTTGCCCACTCTAATTGTTAGCCAGCTATGCAAATGTGGCAGAAGAAACGGATATTCATCAGACCGGGCAATATTTTTACAATCTTTTATTGTACAATTTTGCTGAGTCTGTTCAAATTGTAGTCCGAGTTTCATGTTCTCAGCTGACACCTGGCGTGGTCTGCTGCTGTAGCCCGTCTGCTTCAAGGCTCGACATGTTGTGCTGCATTCAGCTCTTCTGCATATCTTGGTTTGAATGAGTGGTTACGTTAGTTACAGTTACTCCCATCAGCTCAGCCGTTGTACTCTGACTTCTGGCAGGAAGACGAGGCATTTTCTTTGAGAACTACTGCTCACTATATTTTCTCTGTTCACTGTAAACTTTAGAGATGGTTTGTGGGAAAATCTCAGCAGATCGACAGTTTCTGAAACACTCTGACCAGCCCGTCTCACACCAACAACCACCCCACGTTCAAAGTTACTTAAATCACCTTTCTCCTCCTTTCTAATGCTCAGTTTGAACTTCAGCAGGTTTTCTTGATCATGTCCACACACATGTCCTAAATGCATCAAGTTACAGTGGTCCCTCGCTATAACGCGGTTCACCTTTCGCGGCCTCGCGGTTTCTGGGATTTTTTTTTGGTGCAATTTTGCAGGTTTTTCTTTTTTGTTTTGTTTTTTCTTACAGCGCATTGTGTTCTGACTCCTGATTGGCTGTAGACCATTGTCAATCAACCCCGTGCCATGTCTCCTGTACAGTACAGAATGTGTTCAGCTTGTCAAATCTTTGATCGCTAGCAATGCAACTTTGAAGTGCTGCACTGTATGTTTGTAAGTTTTCTCACCCACAAACACAACAATGCCGACGAGAATCATGCCACCTGCGGGTGTCTTTGGTTTCATTCTATAATACTGGACTTATTTTTCTACGAATGTTTGAACTTTGAGTGTTTAAACAAGAGAGAAAAGTGAAAATGTTCATGCCTGTCTGGGAAAAGTGTACAAAGTGTGTAGTGGGGGGGGTTTACAGCCTTAACACATCCAATTGTTAAAAAAATAAAGTTGGCTACTTCGCCTATTTCACCTATCGCGGGTTATTTTTGGAACGCAACTCCCGCGATAAACGAGGGACCAATGTACATGTGATTGGATGATTAGAGATAGAGAGATATATATAGAGAGATAGATAAACTGCTTTTAGCTTTTGCTTAGCAATTGAAAAGATGTATCTGATTTAGTGGCTAGCTAGTGTGTTATGTTGTTGTTTTTTTTAACTGACGGTACAGTTCCTCTTCACTTTTCAATTCTTGTTTGTTTGTTTTTTGTTTTTAAAGTTTGGGAACAAAGCAGTGGCGCAGGTAGCCTGTGACGTCTTTCAGCTGCTCATCTCTCACTGGGAGCATCTCCAGAGGTTGGAGCCCACATTCCCAAAGAAAATTATTGAGGTAAAACAGACACAAACGTCTGGTTTGCTATCCTCGTGGGAACATCCCATTGACATAATGCTTTCTCTAGCTGCTTACCCTAACCATCAGAAATGAATGCCTAAACCCAACCATAACCCAATGGTAATGTAAAAATGCCTTCAAACGTATGGGGACCATGATTTTGGTCCCCAGAAGTTTAGTAAACTTCAAATTTTTGGTCCCCACTAAGATATGAACACACACACACACACACACACACACACACACACACACACACACACACACACACATTGATGTAACCCATGTAAATGTGTTTCACATCCAATAAGAGAAATTCCTTTGAAATAACTTTTAGCATTTAAATCCAAACGTTACTCAAATTGTCGCTCGCTAATGTGCACAGTCCTCATCCTGTGGTTTCGTCTCCGTTTTAGCAATCAGCCCTGACTCAGATGATGAATGGGAGTGTGTCATCCAATTATCTTTCTCCTTGTTTTGTCCCAATACAGATCTTTGTGGCCACAATAGCCTTTTTGTTGCCGAGCGCAGAGCACTCAACGGTGGAAGCGGACAAAAAGGTACATGTTGGAAAGGATGGGACATGAAATGGCTGAGATCTAAAGGCTCTTGATCTATCATGTTGGAATGGTGCATTTGCAGAGGAATGTTTCTACTGAAGTGATTTGTTTTCTCTTCGACCTCGTTCTCCACTGCGTCTTTGATGCTCTCACCTGTTATCCGCTGCCACTCTTTTTTTTTTTTTTTTTTTTTTTTGCTTTGTTAATAATATATCTTTTATTTGTTAGTGTGTGACTGAAATAAATTAGGAACTTCTCTCTCATTTCTCACACTGTAGTTGATGGTATCGCTTCTGCTTTGCCTGTTGGACTGGTGCATGGCTGTTCCCTTGAGTCTGCTGCTTGAGCCTATCACCATGCCGTCACTGGAGGACCACACAGCCCACAAGGCCCCGCTGCTGGACTACATCTACAGGGTGGGTGTCATCAGTGGCAGCCTGGAATAGAGCCACCTTTTACCGATTCATATTCATAGTCTTCTGAACCACACGCAGCTTTTGCAAACAGACACAGCAACTTAAGCTTTGAGATCTCCACCCCCACCCCGCCACATGGGCTTGCCACTTTAATTAGACTCACCTCTACCATGACCTTTTGACTATGCATCATTTAACATTATTGTAGCACAAAGGCGTAGAAGTGTCCACAGCAGCTTACACTCGTGACTGGCATTTAGCATATGTACGAAACCCTGACAACTGTTAGGAAACTTCAGGAGTGTTTGTTTCAAGCATGCAAAATATTCCGTATTGGATCTGCTCCTCTGTTTTTGTCCCTCAAACTCTTTATTTTATGGTCTGACCCTGAGGATGAGGGCCAAGCTTCGGGCCCAAATGAATGAGGTATTATTCATTCCCTCCTGTCTGGGCAGATGCGGTCAACAGCAGATCTTTGTAAGGATGTCACCCCTGATAAGAAATGGTCCAATTATTCAAACGGGACCCTTTGTCCACTTGATAAGCTCAGGCTATAAATGCTTGTCCTGGAGATTTGAATGGAATATGTCTTAATATGAGAGAGACTGCAGCTGCTATGAAAGCAAAGACAATTAAGCATGATTGGTTGTCTATCAGTGCACAAAAAGCACAGTCCCTCTGGCTTTCATTCAAGGTGTGATGATATTAATGTGATATCAACGCTGAAATCTATATGTTTCCACTGTCACATTGGCTGCTAATTATTCTGTATACCAGGCAGAGAATAGAAAACATCTTCCCTTTATTCCATCACTACCCACGTTCCCTGACAGGTTGTTTCATGCCTCATTTTCCTTTAATTACAAATTTATATTTAACGCTCAAGCGCCCAAGCTATTTTAGTGACCACAATTTTTCCCCCATCCTGGCTCCATTTTCTGTTTAGATTTTCTAAAATATTCTAATCAATTTAATTATATCGTTTTTATTCAGACATCGGTTAGCAGAGATTCGCTGGAAAGTCTTGCAATGTAGTGATTAGAAGTGGAAAATTAATATAAATGTACAAAAAAAGACATATTTCCACTGTCTTTGTCACAACAGCAGAGCAAAAACTGCTAAAAGTTTATAGAAAAATTTCTTATGACTGAAAGCATCACAGCTACACATTTAAAAATACGACTTGAGTCATAAATGACTCCACTTGGGCACTTAACAATGTGTCCTTTGCTGACCAATCAAATGCAAGCAGAGACCATGTTTACAGCTAATGAATGGCTTCCATGCTTCCTGGGATGCAGACAAAAGTGAAAAAAGTTGGTACGGTTGACTAACGGCGAGCACATAGCTGTAAAAAGCAACATTGCACTAGACCATGTCGGTTCACTGGAGATCTGCTCAGGCTTCTCCATCTGCTCCCTGTGCCTGCCTCAGCAGCCAGCTGCACCGCGTGTGTGTGTGCGTGCAAGAGAGACAGCAAAGATAGGTACATCCGTGTTTTATTATTTGATTTATTTGTGTACATAGTGTGCTCACATCTCCATGCACCATGTGCCCTTCTAACTACTGTGTTACCTTCCAGGAACTGTTGCTATGCAAATTGCAGTCAATTTGTTGTCAAGCACAGTCGTGGGTTTGCCCCCCCCCTTTCTACATCTCCACAGAGGAAGTTCTTTGGGGCTTTGGTGTAGCAGCTGTTTGGTTCACATCTTTTCAGCATCAAGCCTCAAATCCCTCCCCCTACGCACCCAGAGGTCTGCTTGATGGAATCATCCACATACTGTCTACATTGCCCCACACAATACTGTTTCACATGGCAGGGCCAGCGTCTCACAGCCAAGTGTGTGTGCGCTGAATGGGATTAGCCTTTGCATGGCTTTACCCAAGTTGCTCCACTCTGAATAAGAGGCGCCCTCCTCTACATACATTAGGCATATGTTCTACCCCCTTACCTTTGCTCAGATTATACACTATACAGGTGTGTTTGTCTGTGTACTCGGATATGTATATGTGGCTAAGCATGCGTGTTTGTGGTGGGAGCTGAGCACAAGGATAAAGTCTTAATTAAATCAAACAGTGTAAACCTGTTCAGTGGCTGTAATCAACTGCCCCAGTGCGCCTTATCTAGCACTGCCAACGGATGCTCTGCCATCTGTTATGTAGATCGATACACTCACACATCACAGAAGAAATGGATTAGTGGCTATAAAGACCCTCTTTTCTTCCCTTTTCTCCCTCTCTCCCCCTTTTTGCCTTATGATGTAAATAGACCATATATTCCCCATTCACGTTCTCCTGCGTCGTGCACAGTCACGACAGACACTGCTGCATATTTTCTTACCAGACTTCAACCTTCTAGTACTATGAGTGAGTGGGGGGGAGGGTAAACATACATCGAATATCAATATTTAATAAAATGAATTAAAATCTGGGAATACTGTAAACAAGGTGGCTCGTCTTATTCACCAGCATCCTCAGATAACCTTAGCTAAGCAAACTTTTAATTAAATTGATTCAACTGAAAAACGTCCAACACTAGACACACTTCAGCGGGATTTATGGTCCAGCAGAGGAAAGTGTTCGCTGTCCGTTCCAGTCTGGGGACTGCCTGCAGAGAGCTCTGATGTCAAATGGAGGCGGTTTACAAAGTTTAGGGTACAGCCGGTCTGTGGGCCACTCTTACTTGTACTGCTGATGGTCCACTAGGCAGCTGCAGAGGAGAGCAAAGTTAAAACATGCAAAGAGCTGAAGTAAATCCAAGTGTTAAAAACAAGAGTCTCTACTGCAGCCACTGTCTGTGCTCCCATTCCCGGGAACTCTGCTGTCATTCTCCTCTATTCCAGCCCACTTGTCAACATTAAAAAGACACTTTCGTCAGCTGTGCTCAGTCAGGATCTTTGAGGACTGCACAGGAGCACATGTTGCATTTCCCTCTTCAAACTCAAATGTGTAGATGGACACATTAGCAGGACCATAAATTATGCTTTATCTTGACCAAGTTGTCTCCAAATTCAAAGCACGCTAATGGCTCAGTCACACGAGTGAAAGTAGGACAGCGACCTCCTTTTTCAGCAACCAATTGCAAGTTTTGGTGACTAAATGGTTGCCTGGAGTGAGGTTGATGTTGCTCACACTCGCAAGTCATCTGATAGGAGGCAACCTTGTTGCAAACAGTTGCAGTCTGATTTAGACTGACCCCAATCACTACCATAAATCACTACACTGTTTATGTAGACAGATTGCTGACATGTTGCCATCAGTATGAATGAGTCAATGAGCAAAACTTAAGGAGTCTTGACTCAACTAACTGCCAGCTGCCTGTAATCTGGTTATACTGGATGTGATGGACCGAGCAGTGAAGGAAACTTAGGCACAGGTTAAAGTCCAAAAAAAAGATTTTTTATTTAACCCAAAAAACATAATTGGTTAACTCATGCAAAAAGAATCAAAATCTTGGGCCCATAAAAGAGGTCAAAATAACAAAACTCTACTCAAAGTTGACAACACAACTGATAACTCAAACTGACCTAACTTAATGAGACAAAGGGGAAACTTAAATAGTGGCTGATCAGCCCACAAAAACAGGAGAAGGGGTAAAACACACAAAACCTAACTAAACCAAACATAATGAACTCCAATTCCCCCCCCATGGTCCCGAGTTATGGCATGAACCAATTTGTAGTCTTCCTTTAAAGCTCGCTCCGCCCCTTTTCCACCTCTTGGCTCCTTAATCAAGGGACTGGAACAGCTGCAACTAAGGTAACTCAGAAAACAAAAATTTAATCATACATAACAGTGTAAACTAAAATGTGCACACTTATTTTAGAATGCAGTGTTATGTGGATATGTGAATGAATTCTAAACCAAAACCAGTTATTTATTGTCCTGTAAATAAATTCCTATATTTAAAGAAAGAAATGTGAATGCAATGTTACTTATAAGCCTCTGCACTAACATGGTGGGTATTACCACTGTGTGGCTGTAAGTGCAGCCATCACACTGGAGCAGGAAGGTTGCTGAGCACAAATGTAATAGTTAAATATCAATTTATGTTAAATGAGAACTTCTGTCTACGTAGATGGCAATAAATGTGATTTTCAGCAATCTGTTGCAGTTAATTGCTGAATTCTAAGAAATATAAAACTGTTGGCATGTAGTTGCCGACTGCAGTCTCTTATCTTATCTGATTAAAGAGGTATGACTGAAGTTTGACTTTGAGGACATAATTTGCAGTTTGAAAAAGGTGATTCCAGTAATGTTGTGAGTTAAATGTAGTAATATTATGGTATTGCGGGGTGTTTGGGGTGTCTCTGTAGCAAAACAACCCATGCATGCCAAATAATCACTACATTTTTGCTCTTCCGCTCTCATTCCTCAGGTGCTGCACTGCTGTGTGGCTGGGTCCAACCTGCACACCCAGCAGAGCCACTATCTGCTCACCCTGTCTGACTTGTCCAGTGACTATGACCTCATGCTGGGTCAGGTTAAGCGTTGCGAGCCAACCCCGTCACAGACACCCACCATGGACTTAGGCAACCTACTCACTGTGGCTGAGGGTAAGGGCAGGAAAATGTCATTTCCTAAATCTGAATCTGTTTTGAGAAAGATCGCACTGCATAAAAAGGTTAAGTGTTAATTGTTATATAGTATGTGTTAGTATGTACATAGGTTTACATAGGAGGGTTAAAAGCCAGTTAGTACTTGATGCCAGCTGCTGCATCGTAATGTTTTGGATACTGCTGCCAGCTCTATATTTTATAGTTCCTACATTATAGCTCCCAGAATATGGAGCCAAACTCTCTACCCTGTCTGCCCCCACCCTCCCACCCCCACAAAAAAATCATCCAAAACAGGTTACAGGTAAAAGCAAACTCTAAGTAGGCCATCCATTTAGAGCCTCTCCATTAAATGTCAATATCTTATTAAAAGTATAAAAAGGAAATCAACCATCACAGGGAATGGAATGTTCACATTAGTACTCAGCCCTAAGAGAAGACCCATTATGGGGTTTAGATTTAAAAAAAAAAAAATCTTTTTTGTGACCTTGTGATTCCATTAGGCAACATATTTCTCTTTCTCTCTCGCGTCCTCAACTTCTAAAAAGTCCTCAAAGTCCAAATACACAATGTGAATGTCTCCTGAAACAATGTAAGAAATTCAAACAGAAGCTTTTGTCTTGAAAATTTCATCACACCTCTGCTTTTGTTCAATTCTTTTTTTTTTTTTCTGGTGCACAGCTGCACAGCTGCACAGAGTCTTGGTTGAAATAACAAAACACTATCAAAAGGGCAAACCAAAGAGTGCCGGCCTAGTTATATTCATGCCCTCACCTCATATTGATCAAGTCACATCAAAGGGCCAGTGCATCTCTAATGCAGCTTGGCCTGCTTTCTAAAGAGCTTTCTCCACTTTGATGGGGGATGATGGTATTGATAGCACTGTCACAATGCAAGAGTGCATCTTCTTGTTTTTCCCACATCCCTGCAGAATAAAGCACGGCATGCCTTTCACTTGGGAGTAAAAACCTGTACATTTACATAAATGCAATCTGCAAAGTACAATTCTATTCAGAAGTCTGCAAAGATGGTGGTTCTCATTAGCACTTGGCCAGTCTCAATGGTTGTCCATTGTAAGAAGACTCAATGGGCTTTTCAAAGTTGTCTCTTATGATTAGATGCTACCTACTTAGAGGTGTGCTAGCTAAGCTATTGTGAGAAATGAATAAAGTAGCCCTATTAGTAATCATGAATCAGATTTGGGTTTGTGTAAAAGGAGCTAATAAAGAGTGTAACATGTCGACACACAAATGTGGAGCTTTTTAAATATTGTTAAAGTCTACATTGAACATATTATAAAAGACAGCCCTGAGTGCAGCTGTATTCTAAACCCATTGGTCATTTTTACTATTGATCATGTGTTACACTTGCTTGCTTGTATTTTTTTTTTTCATTCTCCCATCCTTTTTCTCCCACCAGAAAAGCGGCGCCGAAACATGGAGCTGATCCCGCTGACAGCACGGATGGTCATGACACACCTTGTGAACCATTTGGGCCATCATCCCCTGAGCGGCGGCCCCGCTCTCCTCCACAGCCTCGTGAGCGAAAATCATGACAACCCATACGTGGAGTCTTCCGAGCTGTCCTCCGAGGTCTTCAAAAGCCCCAACCTGCAGCTTTTTGTCTTCAACGACAGCACGCTGGTGTCCTACCTGCAAATCCCTGCCGAGACTCCCACCGTTGGAGAGTCCCTGCACACTTCCTCCCAAGTACGCGTCATTGTCCGGGACATCTCGGGCAAGTACTCGTGGGATGGTGCCATCCTCTACTGCACCGCACATGAAGACTTTGATGTGGGAGCCTTTAAACCAGTTGACCCTTCCCTTTCTGCAGCCACTGCAGTCAGCCACAGCAGCAACCCGCCCCCCTCCCCAGTAGCAGGACCGCACAAGCGTCATTGCTCAGGCTCCGATTGCCTCTCAAACTCTTGCGAGGAGGATGAGTTTGATGTTCTCGATAAGCTTTTGGAGGACCTCGGACACAGCAGCCCAGAATGTCTTCCCCAGCCACGACTTAAGCTTAACCAGCCGGCCGCATCACCACACGGAATGAACCTAGAGCAAGAGAACGCCATCCTGGAAGCCATTCATCGTCAGACTCAGCAGGAGGAGGAGCAAGTGAGGAGGTGGGAGGCTGATGTAAGCTTTCGGGCTGACTGCCAGAGCGAACCGTCCCACCAGGAACCAAAAGCTCCTTTTTACTTCTGCCGGCTGCTGCTTAATGATCTTGGGATGAACTCTTGGGATCGCAGGTATTACAGACAGACTGCAAATAGCCTGCTCTTTACTGAAAGAAACAAATAGAGGAAAGTGGGGTTTTAAGAGAAGTCAGACAGGGGTCTGTTACTTATTGGTCACTAGTCTAAAAACAAACACACATTAAATGCAGGCAATCAGAGAGAAAGAACAAGACACATCCTCTTGTTAAGTCTGACACAAAGTCACTTTCTTCATCTTCAAAGTAACTCAGCTGTTGGCTTGTTACTCAAAGAGAGAGAGGATGAATTTAAAGGCACATTGGAGTCCGCAGTGTCTTAATCTCCTCTCCACAGGATAAGAGTGCCCAGCTGTTTTCACTAAGGTCTAGCTTGCAGAGCCTCATCTTTGCTGTTCTGCCCCGTAAATTAAAAGCTTACACCTCTTAATGGTGATGGTGTAACATGCACACTACAAGAGGAGGTTGTGGCTTGCACCTGTGCCTGTTTTTTTTGGTCCTTGGTCATCAGATCTGCAAAACACAACTTTGGTTTAACACTTATTTTCTTTGTGATGATTTAAGCCGCTGATGGCAGTTTTAGTTTCAGATTAAAATCCTCATGTCTAATCTAATCAAGACTTGTTGTTGTTCAACAGGAAAAGCTTCCATTTGCTGAAGAAAAACTCTAAACTCTTACGGGAACTGAAGAACTTGGACTCCAGGCAGTGGTAAAGTTCACTTGGGAGTTTTGTATCATCTTGTGATGATTTAGCACGTCATGATAAGCAGTGTTGTCTGTAATGTATTGTGTTTTCCTGATCGCCCATAAACATGTTTCTGAATGAGTGGAATTAACTCTTTGCATGTCCTGCGAGCCCTCCAGTTTTTCAAGACTGCAGTGCTCCCTTACTCCTCCATGAATTTGCTAATCTGTGCCAACTCCTGCTGAGCACAACCCTGGAAGTCTCCCTCCATCACTCTCTCCGTCCTGTTCTCATCGTTCTTACTGGACTCTCGTAGTCCGATCAATTAGTGCTCTACACATTGCTAATGACAGGAGTTTATAAAATAATGCCCTCAGAAGTGGACCGTTTTCTCCCAGACGGTAGACCTGGTTGGACAATAACAACCTGTGCGCAATCATGCAAAGTCTCCTAAATGCACTCCAGCACAATGTACTGCCATGGCAACAGGGAAAGTAGGATGGGGGGGCTTTGCTGCCATTCTTCTTCTTCTTCTTTTTTTTTTAACATGATGTTAAAGCTGATGGATAGATAGCAGACGGGTTTTTGGAGATAAACATTTTTTTCCCCCTCTGTGCTTGAGATTTTTATTCAGCAGTTCAATTACACAATTTACCTTGATAAGCGAGGTGTAATCCAAGCATTTCATCCAGAGTAGCTCAAGTAGTTAAAGGCTTTTCAAGTTGTGTTACAACTGTTAAACTGGTTAGTGTAGCTGTTGTTCTTTTAATGCTGGCTGCTTTTTATTTTTTGTTGTTGTTCTGTAGCCGAGAGACGCACAAGATTGCTGTGTTCTACATTGGAGAAGGCCAAGAAGACAAGTGCTCCATTTTGTCTAACAGCACAGGAAGCCAGGACTATGAAGACTTTGTATCTGGACTGGGATGGGAGGTGCAAACCACGACTTTAAATCAAATCTTTGCATTCATATTTGCACAAAGTTGTACAGCCTCACTCAGAAAAGAGTAACTTTTGCTTGTACATTTCAGGTGGACCTAGCCACGCACTGTGGCTTTATGGGCGGGCTCCAGAGGAATGGCAGCACAGGTCTAACGGCTCCTTATTATGCTACCTCCACTGTGGAAGTTATTTTCCACGTCTCAACGCGTATGCCATCTGATTCTGATGACTGCCTCACCAAAAAGGTTAAAAAAAAAGCTCGTATTGACTATTCGTACATCTGGATTGTCTGTATTGAATTACTTGCACACCTTAAGTTCTAAGTGCATTAGAAAAAGAAGAATGTACTGCAGTGAAATGGCTACACAGCCATGCCTGCCCAGAGCAGTATGTTGTTGCAGCCTTCAGCTCTGTGTTAAGCTGTGATCAGGAGGTGTGACTCCAGAGTGTGGGCATTGATTAGTGACCCTGGCCAGGAAGGCCTGAGGAGTAGAGAATCGCAGGCGCGTGAGTGAAGAGAGGGCATGTGCTGCTGTGGTAATGACTATGATTCTGCTAGCCCCTGCCCCCCTCCCTATGTGCTGTGACCAGGGCCTGGATTCAGCCATTAGCTCTCCCTGCTAGGGCAGGCGCCGGCCGGATGCCGGCAGGATCCTTTTATCCAATTCCTGCTGCCGCCACAGGAGCGATCGATTTGGTTCTGCAGTGGGATTCTGAGCTGTAGTGCAGCAGTAGCAGTTAGCAGAAAGAAATGAGCCGCAAGGCCCCTGCCCGTGCTGCCAATCTTCTCATACAGTACCCTGCTGAGGAGGGAAATTCATCAGGCTCTCCTCATATCCAGCCACACTCCAGCCCTCAACAGACATCCCCCTCTCCATTTCACAAATAATCGCCTACTCATTCCAAACCCATCCTGGAACTGTGTTTAGTGGCCACGGAAATTAGTCTGAGGAAAGATTTTGTCTCGGTTTGTCCAGAGTGTGGCGCTGGAGGGGTGCCCGTGCCCAAAGCAGAGTGTGCTGCCACTCCGCTCTCATTCAGTTTCGCCGGGAACTTCTGTAATTGCTCGTGCTCACCTCGCACAGATCTCCACACCAGCTACAGGTCCAAGAGAAATTTGCAGGCTGGGCCGCTTGCGCCGATGTTTCAGAAAACGATGGGAAGGTAAAGAGAAGAGAAAGTGGTATGAAAAAATTGGAATGAGAAACAGGCTTTGTCTGTGTCTAAGTACGATGTTACTCTGTCAATTTAAAAATAACACTTTTAGTCCAGCAGTCACCCACTTTACTTGCTGTAACCATAGAGGCATACTGTAGGGGAGAGACGGATGGGGTAGCTCTCGCTGAGTAGATTGCCTGTTTGAAGCTGATGGAAGGGGGGGGGAAAGCTAAACCTAAAAGAAAAGACGGAAAACCATGAATTCCTCAATCCAATTGTGGGTTTTAAGGCACTGCAGGCTGTAGCAGCAGCAGCAGCAGCTGGCTTCAGTAATGCATTTATAGAAATGACCTGCAGGGTTGGGGTCAGGCCATGTAGACGATGTGGATGTGTGTGAAAGTGAGGGAGATGGACGGGTGCCTTAGCCGTCCCAGTTACCCTCGGGCGCTACGTCTTAACTAGGTTGCTGCAGGTTGTTTTCATTAGGATGCTCTTGTCTTCTGGATCCTTTGGGTGGCAGTTTCCATGTATGTGAACCCCACTGGTTGGGTGGAAGGTCAAGGTGGGCTAATTGGACAAGAGCCTTTGACTTGAATCACATTTTATTAAAGAAGTCTCAAACATTTGGATGTGATTAACAAGGGGATAAATGGGTTGGTGCAGAAGATGATTGACTAGAGCATAAGCATCCTCGTTAAACTTGTCATTCAGCTAATCCAAATGCTACTATCTTAACCCAAATTAACATCCCACTGCTGATTGTCTGCAGCAAATGCATATTCAACATTTTCTCTGAAATTGTCCCAGTGACTGACCTGGCTGGTACCTGCTGATCCTTGGACAGACAGACTGAACTGGCGAGCTCCAGTAATCAGCATGCCGTGGATTTGTTTAAGATTAGCGTATTACCATAATTAAGGGCTTATAATAGAATGTGCTAATTGCATTTTTGGTGGCGAGGGCATGTTTCTTAATGGCTCATTAGGCCAACAGTACATTGGCAGATGTTTTCTTCTGAGTAGAGACTCACTTTTCAGTGTCTATGATACTCTGGAAAATGGAAGGACTGCTTGATTCGACATCACTGGACCACCAGCTAATAAATGATCTACACTTGTCATCAGAGAATGTAATGTTGCTACTCCCATCTATTTTACTTTGAAAAGGGGAAAGCTGTTTACCTTTTTTCTTCTTTTTTTTTTAAACTAGCATCAGTCAATTTCCTGTCATTTAAGCAAATCTTCTTGTCCTGCCCAGTTTCATTTGTGGTTGTGAACAGAGTGGAAATGGGAAGCAATTTAACCTCTGATGGGGTAGGTTAATTGGATTTGAATTATTTGGTTTTAAAATGCTCAATTTTGTCCATTTTATGTTTGCTATTTGAATTTGTAATGAAAAAGCTATAATAGGAGACTAAACCAGAGCCAGGCTACGATTTAGACCATTGTTTTCAAACAAATTTTGCGATCACCTGCTCCAGAAACAGTTGCTCCCAAGATGCACTAGAAAATAATATTGTCAGTCATCCTCTTCTAAAAAGATTTTTAACCTCAGTCCGCTCCTCGATCTCCTGGAGGCAGTGTGGGTTTTAAGTGCAGAGCGGATAAAACCCAGTTAGAAGCCCTAATCCATCCAAATTTGTGTTCCTGTCTAGTTCCCCAAAGCAGAGAAAATTATATTCGCTCACTAAGCTGTTGATTAGACTAATTTTGTTTGTTTGGCAGCTGCGTCACCTGGGAAACGATGAGGTGCACATAGTGTGGTCCGAGCACACCAGGGACTACCGGCGCGGCATCATCCCAACTGACTTTGGAGATGTGCTGATAGTCATCTACCCAATGAAGAAACACATGTATTTCATCCAGATCATGAAGAAACCACAGGTAAATGGCAGTGCCGAGTGGAATATTTAGGTTATAGACCACTGCAGATGTTTTAGCTCTTTAGGTGTAATGATCATTTACGGGAGGTTTTACTTTTTAAGCATGCAGGTTTACTGTCATGTCTTAAGGGCACCTAAACAAAGTGGTAGCAGGTTAATTCTACCTGTTACCTGCTGTAACAAGTCAGCATACAGCATGGCACTGCATTAATTTCCTGTCTGTGTTCATTAGATAATGCAGACCCTCGTCCTTCTGTTGTGTTCAGACTTTGCTCTGAATTTCATACCTTCTTTCCCTTGTTGTGGTTTCTGTCTGAAGGCTCTCAGGTCTTTCCTCCAGCGATGCATTATTACCCACACTGTGGGTATGTGCTTTCAGAGATGGTTACTGGCCTTTGTTGGCTTGCTTTCATCTTGGTTACTCCATAGTGCTGCACTCGATGTGTGGCCTCCTGGAGGACCGTGAAATTACTTTGTCCAGGATGACTGGATTCAGATGTTCAGATATATCCACACATTATAAAAGTGCATAGTGCAAAATTTGTAAAGCAGTATTTTTCTTTTCTTTCCAGTAAATTATCTTGAGAGAGATAATCGGGAAATGGATCATGTAAAATGATGTTGTAGTTTAAGCCCAACTTGAAGAAACACGTTATGTTCTTATTCTTCCATTGTTTTTTATAACAGTCATAGGAGGAGGGGAAATTCATTCAGACTGTATTTGTTTCTTTCATTGTTTTTTAGTGTGAATGATCATAGTGCCAATTTATTGCCGTCTCTGTTTGCATCATAGTCATTGCTCTAATGGAGTTCTGGTTTTGTCTGTGTAAACAGAAAACTAGCGAGGCCATCCTCGTCACTGAAAGCTCCACGTTTTGACTTTGTTAAATGTCAAAATTCAACACAGCAGTTCACTAGATGCAAAACTTTATTCACTGCTGAGAGCACATTAGTTATCAAAAAGAAATTTAAATCGTTTTCCTGGAACTCTCAATTGCTGTTAAGAAAACCCACAAAACTGCTTTTATCATTCATGAGTCATACACTAGTCGACTTCCATCCATATGTTTTCCTCAGTGCTACTCCAGGCCCACTCATGTTCATGGAGGGCCTATTCCAGATAACCTCTGAAAACACTAACCCTTTGTGCAGGAAGCTTTTATTTCAGTTTTTCTGTCGGGGAGCTGCACAAAGAGGAATTGGAATGAAGCTGAAAAACTACAGTTGTTAAAGATCATAATTTTAAAAAAGAGTTTCTGCCACAGGAAGCCTTTTTCATTGGGTGAAGGTCAGAAGAAGAGCTGCCGCTGCAGTGCCGAGGCCAATCGTGAAAAAATAAACATTTTTATCGGAGAGTTCCTCTAAATTAAAAAACATGTAAAACCATCTACTCAGATGTCTGATACTGGAGTATTTATAGTATAACTTCAGGTTTCCATCACACGATTTAGCTAATTATTCTGTATCACTGGTGTTATACATCATTTTGTTGTTTAATTTGGCTGGTCGAGTGCCAAGTTGAGGACAGCAGGGCCTTTGGAAAGACTTTGACGTTCACGTCAACTTCCAGGTCAGTGACTATTGAGCTTCAGTGATTAAGGGCCCCCTTCCAATATGCATGAACAGACGCGTACACACACACACACACACGCTATCCTTGAAATTCATTCTGCCCCTTTGTATTAAATAGCTCAATATGAGGGCATTGTATAGTATTGATTGTCATTTTAATTTCATTTACCTAACATTGATTCGCATAAGATATGTGTGGTTGTCATGCAGAGTTAGGCAAAATCCAATTTCAACTTGAACCCTTCCCCTAAACAGATGGAGGGTTTTTTGTTTTGTTTTTAAACAAAAAATGTGTCTCTTAAGTACTTGCACATGCAAAAACAGGATCCGCACTAAAATTTGAGTTTTATTATCGACTTGTCTAATTTCTTTGTTTCTTTCTTGACTTCCTCAGGTTCCCTTCTTTGGCCCTCTGTTTAATGGCGCTATCGTCACTGGAATGCTGCTGCCAAGTTTAGTACGGGCTACCTGTATCAATGCCAGCAGAGCTGTCAAGTCCCGGCTGACTCTCTACCAGAGCTTGTATCCTTTTTTCCTCAAGGCTTCTGCTTTACTTCCTCTCTCACACAGGTACAGCTCCTCAGATGAGTGTGACACTTTTAAAAGATGAGGCAGTGGTTACTCAGAGAGCTCAGACTGCTAAGTTTATTAGCAACGATTTTGAAATATTTCAATTAGATGTAAATAAAACATCACTGAGATTAAATTTCCAACATGACAAGCCACCACATTGGAGTGGATTCACTGGAACATGTGGTGTGCTTTCCATGTTAGCCAAAGTACACAGCTGAGTGCAGACACTGAGCTACCTGATTTACATACAACTATTAGGCCTAGGCTGTTTCACAGCCTGGAGCAACACGGGAGGTTGCGGGGCTGTTTTGGGTAAGAGAACAGATAATGTGTCATCATCTATCACTACCGTTTTATGGCGGACGAGAAGAACCAAAATAAAAGCCCCATCAACAAATGTATACAAGTGCATACACTCACACACTGCTCTCATCCCTACACCCATCCATCCAACTGTGTGCCGTTAAGAGCCTGACTCCAGCTGTAGTTGTCAGTTGGTTTAAAGAGAGTGTAATTACCAGTGGAGATGAATTAGCATGTGAATACCAGCAGCACAGAGTCGAGGGAGGGGTGGGAGGGTGAGATTGGGGGGGCAGAGTTGGGATGGCCCCTGGAGGGGGAAACCTGATCTCCCTTAACGTCCCGCTCCTACTCGGACAGCGTGTGCGCCACCGCCTCACCAGAACCACACTGCCCCTCTGGCAGTTGCTATAGAAACCTCTCCCAAGGAGGTTTTATTTGGATTGAGGATGTATGCATAATTTCTAAACTTGTTTTCAGACTCTGTGTGGATGACTATTACTCACAAAGGGCTTTTGGTCTGTCATCGTGCTGCACTGCTCACAGTGTAGGGTGTGTGCAAGTATGTGTGTGTCTGTATGCATTTCACAGTGCATCACATAGCTTGGCCCCCCCACCCCAATATCGGGCCTTGTCTGAAAGTCCCCGGGGGTATCCTGAGTGACAGATGTCTGTTACCCGACGCCAAGTGAATTAGCCCAGTGTGATTCTCAGTGCCAGAGGGGGGCCGTCCACAGGCCTGCCTGGCTCTGGAAGCCTGAGGGACTGGGGAAGCCGAAGGGATTTTTGTTTTTTGTGTTTTTTTTAAAAGGGGGGTGGTGCTGCTGCAGTAAGAGGGCCGTACTGGGACACTAAAGCCTCACCTGGCATTCCTTAGCACAGAATCAGTTCAGCACAAAGGCATGATCTATGAGAGGAGATAAGCGCTGCCTCTGGAGTTCTGGCACCGATCGGCTGCCAGGCCTCGCACACTCCACCAGAGGAGATGAATGAAAGTGCCAGGCGGAGCACACGGCCAAAATGAGTATCTGCATGTCTGCCTAGCCAGAGAGCTCGTGAGCACAGAGGCAAAACTTTAAGCTAATGAATGTTTGGTGCTGTATGAAAAGTGACAACTTGAGATTTGATATTTTAAGAGAACGTCAGAGCGCACTGGTGCAACGTCCCGCAGTGGTTCTGATCGTAAAAGAAACAGTGCGTTGGTAGCCAGGTGGAGTTGCTCTTTCAGATGCTTTGATTTCAACATTGCTTTTACTGTTACGCCACTCCAGCCTTTTGCATTTTTCCCTCTCCGGTCGTTTCAGTTCTTCCATCTTCTCAGGATATTGCAGCCCTTTATCTTTCACAGGTTGGAACAATGACCTGAAACTCTTTTTTTTTTTTTTTTTTTTTGATGAAAATCCTCATCCTTAGTTTACCCCTTCACAATGCCTTTACAATTCACAGCCTGCTCTCTGCCTGTGAGGCCACTCTCCAAGGTAATTAGTTGAATATTTCTTCAAAGAGAAGCTATATAACCCCTGTGTGTCCAGATAAAAGGCCAGTATGGCTCTGCAGCCCCCTCTCTCGCGCCGTCACAGGGATCTAGAGGACTCCAGCAGTCTGCTGCAACGCTCACAGAATCTCTCGAGCTAATAGGATTTGATATTGAAAAATGACCACCAGCAACATTTTCTGAAAATACACACAGATGGGCTACAGGAGTGTTTTTCAAAAGGATACTACCTCTTGGCAGCTTTCTGTCTTTCTCATATGGCTTTGCTCTCTCGTCCTTTTTCTGCCCACATGATTTTGTCAAATCTGTGCAGTTGCATATGCCTTGTCGTGTCACGTACAGCCATCGGTGTCATTTGCGATTTGTGTCATTTTCCTCTGCCAGGACACAACCTTGGCCTCATAGGCAACATATCACAAGACTCTCACAGACAACTCATAATGTATCATTTATTATTTATATGGCTGATAGGAAATGCAGCTGCTCTGGCTTTGTGTTCTAAGTGTATTGTTGGCCATTCGCGGCTGCATTTTGAATACTTGAGACCACAAAATGTTCAATCAAAAACAACTTTGAATTAAATGTAACCACATTTGTTTTTACAGACTTCTGTGAAACATGGATGTTAATCGGGCCCTCCCTTGCAAATGTAAGAAGCTTAAAACCAAAAACAGCAATTAGTTTGTTAGTGACACGTGGACCAAACCTGCCACTGCACTGCCTGCTGCCATTTACTGTATGAGAAAGATCCTTCATACTGTCAGTATAGAATAATGTCGTCATCCAGAAGGTGGGATTCATTTCACTCTTCAACAAGCACTTGAGTTTGATGTGCCATCCATCACTCTTTGTGATGGGGTATTGTTAAAGGTGAAGTGTGTGTGTGTCTGTGTGTGGGGTTATGGCAAGTTACTAATAGGTGAGACAATGCAAAACTGACCTTGATTCAGAGGCATAGCCTTCCTATTGGACAGAATCAATAGCTTTTGCACACTGCCCTTAGTCCCCATCCTTTGTTCTGACACACAAGTAAACACACACACAGATCCATCTCCAGGCAGCGATCAATAACCATAATCTGTTTCTGCCCATCGCCAGTCATGCGAGCCAGGCTTTTAGGTAGCGTGTGTGTGCATGTGTGTGTGTGTGCGCAGCAGCAGGAAGAGGAGAGGAAGGCTTGATCCTTTCAGTGGAACCCAAAAAGCTGCTTAACTCTGTCATGTTCCCTCACAGGCTCATGTGAGCATATCTGCAGTCCCCCAGCTCCACTGCTGGAAACAAGATGTACATCTTTGCAACGGCTGTATGCTGAAAACACAATGGATATGATATTCTGCATGCACTGCTTTTGTGTGCCGTTTCTGCATCCCCACACGCCGTCATAATTAGTACAGTCGCCGCATTGACCGTGACACATTCTCACACCCCTTCTGAGCAAGTTATTGTCCCGGTCTCATCGCGTCTTTGTCTCACGACAGCATGTTCTTTTGTATACTGTAAGATTCTTCACCTAGCGGAGATGAAAGTGCGCCTGTATGCATGATAGGGTGTCATGAATAGGATCTGCCATGTTAGTGTTGTCTCTCATGAATTATTTAGCATCGTTGATAGGTCTAATTTGCCAGCTGTTGTGCCATAACTGTTGGCAGACTCATGGATAATACTCAGCAGTCTATATCACTATGGAGCACAGTGCTTGACTGGGCACAGTGAGACGCCAAGCTAGTCATTATAAGCTGGATTCATGTAATGGTCTGAGCTGATGTGAGTATAGCCAACTTCCTGTTCACTGGAAGCGGGGCTGACCAACTAAAAGTAATTTGTAATCTGCAGTAACTTTTGCAGCGGGAGTTGGACAGCTTGACTTGTTGCATGATTTATGACAAGTGATTGTCAGCATATTGTTATTACTGGATGCGAACCGTTTAGTCGGAGGCGGTTGGCTGCTGTTGGATGAGTAGGTAGCTGGAGTTGGGTGAGGGGCTAGTTTGGACTTAAAGTGTGCCTGCTTGGAGTTGGCAGGGCTAAGTTTGGGCGGAGGCTGGCATTGGCTTTGATAGGGTGGTTGAGAGTTTACACATTATTTCAGGGGGCTGCAAAGAGAGGAGGGGGCTCTCCCCAACTGAATGTTTTAACCTAATCCCATTATCAGTGTAGCGCACTGCCTCCCATCTCTTCCCCCTTCTTATCCCTGCTCCCTCCCACTCCTCTCTCCAGCTGACCAGCTGTTCCTGCCGGGACTCACGACAATGTCCGATGTGTTCAGATCACTGAGTACCCCCCTCCTAATAAACACACACACATGAACAGAGCGCAGTCCATGTACGACCAAAGCAATTGCCAAGCCCATTGCTGGAGCCGAGAAGGCCTAGAGGAGGAGGGTGTTGGTTGGGGAAGAAGGGGTGTAGCTTTGGGGGTTTGGAGGGGGCAAGCACAGGCCTGTCAAACAGAGAGCCCTGACTCAGGAGGCAGCCCAGCTCGGATGGCATATGGCGTCTAGCTTCATACAACATGCAAAAGTATTCTCTCTCTTCACCCCCTCTCATCTACTCCCCCTCCCCATCTCCCTCTCCCTGCTGCTAATGCAGAATGACTCATAGCATTACTCATTTTTTTCCTGCCCCCCCAACGCACATTAGTTCCTCCTCCTCTTGCCACCCAGCCTGTAACAAAAGGCGTACACTGTGCGGCACCCACACCCTGAAAGCCCTGGGGGCCTAGCACAGCCTACACTCTGGGGTCTGAGCTTCATGGGGGCCGCCCCCTTTTAAACACAGGTAGAGCAGGCATGGAACCAGACAGCCAACAGCAGGGCCCCAGAGCCCCGCCTGTCAGAGCGTACACACACTGCTGGTGTCAGAACTGCCTGTTGGTGTATATCAGTTTGTGTTTGTATATACAGCTAGCTTTGCACTCTTGTGCTTCGGGGCTTTAAAATCATCACGCTTGGTGTCCTGCATTTGTTCATCTTTGCCTCTCCCTGCAACCTTTGTGACGTCTTGCTGGTCTCACTGATATTTTTCCACATTTTGATTGATATTTAATTACCATGTATAAAAGTCTATTTCTTATCAGGATTTTTTCAGTTGCTTTCATTTATTTACTTTTTTGCGCAGTGTTTATCAAATAAAAAGCCGTGGTGTTTTCAGGTATC